TCCATGATTCTTCCCTGATTTTCATGGGTAGGAAAAGTTGCATGCGGCAGGTGGTCTTCCACCAACACAATCTTTTAAATCTTCTTACCTTCCCCAAAGAGCCGCTTTAGTGCCGATTTGGCGTGAGGGGGGTCCGGACAGATGGCCAGTCTTTTCACGTTTGGAAAGGATGAAAAATGCTAGGGGGGGAAAAAAATCCCAGTGATTTTTTTTTTTTTTTTTTTTTTTTGCCGTACGGCGCAGAGGGTTCCGAACCTCATTGGCCCTGGGAGGTCCACCACGTGGCACAGGATGAAGAGCACGTGACCTATTTTCTCCCAAATCCCTCCATTGGCTGGAAAGGGGGGATGCACCCACTGCTGATGTTCTTGTCATTTCAGTGGGCTTTGATTTTTTTTTTTTTTTTTTTATTTTTTTAAAGGCCACTGAGCAAATTGGGTTGCCTCAAGGCGATGAGGGCGAACCAGCCAATGCTTTCAACATGAAGGAGGAAGGAGCTTGGGTACGAGATGAGCACCGGAGCGCTGCCTGTGTGCAGGGGGGAGATTTGGAGGGGCTTTACCAGCGTACCACCAGAACGGTGCCTGCCCACCCACTTCAGAGACGGAGCCTCCGGGAGGGAGAGGAGGGCATACAGCAGCGCACGTTCGGCTGCTGGCAATGGGCTGTGCTAAACCCTTCATCTCAGAGGCAGCAGCAGCGGACCAGGCTGAAGCCCTGACTGCAGAACCCAGAGCTCGGCTGGCTCCCCGAACCTTGAAGGAAGGGGATGTCCTACAACTGTTCCATCACCAAAAAAAAAATAAAGTATTATCTTGTGCCCCCGCGTTGCTTCTGACCTCTCCCAAGGTGATCCAGTCCTCTGCTGCCTTACGGCTATTGCACAGTGGTTATTGCACCAACCAACTGCTCTGAGAGATGACAAGTCTCCTGCTTTAGGGGCAGGGGGTCTGCTGAAACAGCTTTCTTGGAAGAAGGACCAAGCGCAGCGGAGGGAGCATGGCACGCTCGAGGTGGGGACCACCTACTCCCACCACCACACGGCCGGTTCAAAGCGGTCCCCCCAAACAGACACTCCCCAAACCCAAAACGCGGCACGGTTTTTGGGGATGTTCTGCCTCAGAAGGGTCCCCACGGCCCCGTGGAGCAAGGGGCCACAGCTCCCACTGTCCGACTTTGACTGGTGCTGGGGGTCCTGTCTTGCCCCAGCTCTGTATTTCCTAAGGGACAGCAGCTCGGAGCCACCACATCCCAGCCAGCCACGGTCCACAGGCCGAGCAGCTCCCAGCCTTCCCTCGGTAAACGCAGGCACCAGCCCACCAGTGTCAAGACACTCAGATCGGGGAGGGGAAAATGCATTTTTGGAACCCAAGACATCCTCCTATTTTCCCTGTCAAAGCTCAAGCTCATGTGTGGCGCCAGTCAGAAGCTGCATTTTTTCTGGCTACCTGGCAAATCCCACGGCTGTGCCATCTCGTCGTGGCAGCAATATGCCTGTTCATCACCCCTGCCAATGGAAAGCCCTGAGTGAATCTACCTCTGGCATCTGCCCTTGAATTTCGGTGATGAAATTCAATATTGCAGAGCAGCTGTCCCCAGCCATCCCATCATTCAAGGGCTCAAGCCCTTCTTATCTAAGGGTAACGCCTAAGGCTCCTCAAAGAACCAGCTGAGCTTGGGCTTTGGTGAAAAAGCACAGCTCTGGCCACCTCCATGAGTTCTTGGCATCACCACCACATCCCGACCCGGCACTCAGCCCGCCTGCTGGTTCTCCCTTGCGGCTGTTCCCCCCCCACACGGCTCTGCACAGGGATGGAAAAGCATCAGGAGCACAGTCCCTACTTCCAGGTCCTTCTCGAGGCCAGACCGTCCCTCCACGTTATCAAAAAGAGAAGTACAGCCATAAAATGCCTGAAACGGTGTAGAGAACTGCAGGGTTTCACCTGAAATCCTCTGTGGCTTGGAGGGTCACACTTCTCCAGCCACCAGCCAAACGATGGGGCGTTTCAGTCCAACAAATACAAGCCAAGGGAGAAACTTGCCACACTTAAATGCAAACTATGGACACGGCCAACATCCCTCAGCTCGCTGCTTTCCCCTCTCGTGTTTTGTGGTGGCCAGTGTGCAAAGGGAGAGAATAAAATCCTCCACCTTCCAGCCCCACAGCACCCTGTTTGCAGCCCCCTCATCCTTCCCCAGTGATGCCCAGATAAATCTGGCTCCTGAGTAATCTTCTGAATAATTATATAATAGAGAGGCAGGCAGAGAAATAATTTTAGGCTGCTCTGTCGATAGAAAGCAAGCTGGATTAAAAGATCAGAACAAGCAATACTTAGATTAAAATGGTTTGTTATTTTCAGCTGTGGAAAATCTGTGGCTAAAGCACGGAAGATATTGAGGGAAGGCACATCATCTTTCTTTCCCCAAACCCAAGCTTTCTATGTATTAGTCGAGGCAAGTTCCAGGTTTCCAACCTGCACTCAGGATTTGTTTCCCAATGGGTCAAAGAAATACAATTTGCCAGTTCATACGGCATTTTACCTGAAGACTTAAGAGCAGCACGGAGATGCTTCAAGTTACATTTTGCCCTGCAAGCTGAGTCCAAATTAAACACCATCGACGCACTGCTGCTTGTTAAGACATCAGACCCCCTGAGCCGGGAGAAGCAGCGTGCGGCTTGGCAGACAACTTCATCGCCTACGAGAAACGTGCCTCCTGGCACACAGCATGGGCTTTATCGGTACCAACGTCTTTGCCTTTAGCATGTGCCTCCCTGCACCCCCGAGGTGATGGCAGGCAGACGCCAGGCTTACCAACGGCGGAGAGGCGGCCGCGGCTGGGAGAAGCCCATCGGGCAGCGGGGCAGCTCTCTGCGGGCACCCGTACGGCATCCCCCCGGCCCCCGGCAAGGTCATGGGGTGCCACGCCGGGCCCCGCTCCGACCGATCGCTTTGGCAAGGCGTGAAGGGGAGGCAGGAAAAAAACAGCGAGCAAAGGGATCTGACGCTGGGGGCCGAGCTCCCCGCAGGGCACGGCGCTCATCAGGCCGCATCCCGGATCGATGCTGCTAGCTTTGCTCATTCACCTTCGGGTTCAGATGAAGCAGAAGGGTCAAATTGGGAAATGGCTTGCCACTGGTGGGCATGTCCCCACCACCGTGTCGCAGCCTTGTGTCGCAGCCTTTTTCCCCTTGCTGGCACGGACACTTCCCACCCGAGCGCCTGGCTGCGCTCACAGCATCTCTGGCCCCCAGCATCAGCAGCGACCACTCGTCTCATCTCCAGGATGCGAGATGGAGCAGCAGCAGTTTCCCAGTGCCAAGTGGTCTCCAAAAACGGAGTCCTCTTCCAGGCGTCCCTCGCACCTGTAGTTTTTCTACAAAATAGTCATGGTACTACACACACAGGATCAGCTCTGAGTTCTAAGGATGAAATCCCATGGGGCAAGAGGTCGAAAACAGCCTTGAAGAAGGGTTAGCATTTAAAATGAAAACCACACCTTGCTTCTGACTTGCACAGAGCCGAGAACCAGGCTCCTCTCCTGACTGCAGATGTGGGAGAGGGTCCAGGGCACAGGCCTGAGAGAAGGGATGGGATGTTGGACAGGGAGCATGGGAAGGCAGAAAAATGAGGTCGGAGACCATCCTGGAGGGAGATGGAAGCTGTGGGATGTCATGATGTTCATCCAAATGATGCTTTAATAACCCCTTACTGCAGAAAAGTGTTTTCACTAGAGCCAGACAACAGAACGCACTTGCTGGACAGACTGGGGTTACGAGCGCTTGTGGGAGGACAGTTTGGGGACTTGGTCCCCAGCAGGATACTCAGCTCCCCCAGCAAGGCCATGCCCTGGTTTTCCTGGGGTTGGCAATGGGAATCTCTTCCCCAAGACCTGCCGTGCTCGAGGAGATGTCAGCAAGCAGGGAAGAGGCAAAGCCCTCCAGGGATGCACTCCCACGTGCATCCTCCCTTCAACTGATGGCCTCCAGGCTACCAGCAGGAAAGACTAAGCTGCCCCCCACTCCCCCCAAAAACCCCTCTGCAGATGGATGTGTTTGTCAGAGGCTGCCCGTAGCACACAGGAGCCGCAGACGGTGACGGCAGAGACTTCACACAGTGCATGGTCAAGACCAGGCACAACCAGTACCCACCACATCACCAGTGATGACAGACAACCCTCCTCACAGGTTTCTGGGCAAGTTCTACCCTTGCCGTACTTTCCTGGGTCACCTGCAGCTCCTCTGAGAAACCTCTTTGCCCTGACCCAAAACGCACCATCTTGTTGCAGGTATAGGGTGTTGCTCTGGCCGGTCTCTCCCAGGGTTTTATGTGCAGAAAACAGGGATGAGCAACACTTTTAAAAGGAAAGGGAGAGAAGAGAGGTGGATTCGTCTGTTGCTACAACATTTCTGCTTTATGGAGCTGTCTTCTCACTCGGAGACATGTGTCTTCCTCTTCACTAATGGAAAATGTTGCCTCGCCGTCCATTTGAGATAGTCAATGCCCGGGACAACACAATGGCCCCGGGCCAAAGCAGATCTATTTTAGTAACAAAAGCAGAGTGGCTGAAGAGAACAACCTCATCGATGCGCTTCCCAGCTTAGCTCTTTAGCCGGTTTTAATGGACCCCTGTGACCAACGTGGTGGAAAGCGGGCGGCCGAGTGCAACGAGGGCAGAGGCAGCAGGACAGGGAGACCTGCACGGATTCATGACTGCCCAAGCCCCTTTGCAGAGAGAGGCCCCAGCAGCACAACACACCCCTCACAGAAGCCCTGTTAGCAGGATTGCATCATGCAGGGAGCAGAACCCCCTCCCCTGTTTTGCCCACGCCACAGCATTGCCCCTCACGTGGAGCTGGGTCCCTGCGGGGCAGCACTACCTCTCTCTGCAGAGCCCAACCACGTCCTCTCTGCAGGCATTTTATAGCCTAAGCGAGACCACGGTGTGGCTGTGAAGACCCCCCCGGGATTTGGAAAGGGTCTGAGCTCACCTTACCTTACCCTGCAGCCTGGCCTTGAGCTCCGGAGCAATTCCTTGGAGGGTCTGGTTGCACCAGACAAGGGCATGCTGAGCGCGGGGTGGAAACCGGCGGCCCGCGGCACGAGCCTGCAGAGCAAGACACGGCAGAGGTTAGGCACAGCACAGAGGGAGGACACCCGATGTCTGCTTACTGTCCAGAAAAAAATGAATTTCAGAGGGGAATAAAACATGGGTTGGGTTGGGGAGGACAAAACGATCCGGAGCATCATCTCCAGGTTGCTTATGGGGCAGGCAGCAAATCCCTGCCTATATTTTTATCTACATTCAGGGCAGGTTTGGGCAGGTCCTGCCCCTGCTTTCATCACCCAAGGGAAGTCAACCAAAGAGCTGGGGTGTGAAGGAGGGGGTCCCCGGGACACGACCCCAACAAGACCTCCCAGGTGACCACAGCCCAGCAGTCTGGCTGCAGGAACACCCCCCCACACACAGGGAGCACAAGCCAAGGGTTTGCTTCATCCAGAAATCAAACCACAATGGAAATAATCCAGCACGTTTCAGTGACATGGGCGCCGGGTTATTTTTATGGCTTTATTTTTGCTGCTGCTCCCAATAAGTTAACTGGGGCATGCATTACCCGTCAATAAAATCAATTGAGCAGTCTGAGCTGTTAATAAGCTGAGTGCCGGAGGGCAGAAAAACCTCTCCAGCACCCAAAATATTCTTTGGGCAGCGGGGTGAGTGAGCTGCAGGCCCCGCTCATTGCTCAGACTTGGTGCTGCTCTTGATGTGCCTTATAAAGGGAAATGCAGCTTGTGTGTTATAAGGGGAAACCTTCCTCTTCCAGGTGACACAGCAACCACCGTGCTCGTCTCCAGTGACCTGGGCATGAGGGGCTGATGCTGTGGGAAGGAGCCCGTCAGTGGGAGGGGAGCCCCTGAGACCCTCCGAGGTCAGTCTTTACTCCTGCCTGCAGCTCACAGCACCCTCAGCACTAAGAACAGAGCAGGTTGACCAAGGCTTTATCCCTTTGGGGCTTGAAAACCTCCAAGGATGGAGACTGCACAGTCTCTCTCAGCAACCAACTGTCCTCATAATTAATGTTTTTTTTTCCCTACAATACTCTATATGTCTCTCTGAATGGCAGCTATGTCCTCTGAGGTAGTGACTGCATCCCCAGTTGGTGTCACCCACAAGCAGGACACGTCCCAGGATGGACCCTGAGAAATTTCACTACTCTCCACTGAGCCTACACAAGCAAAATAATTTTTAAATCCCACTAACCATCAGAATTGTAACATCCTTCCTCATGGACTCTCAAAACACAGGGAACAAAAGAAAAGAAAACAAAAAAATTAATACAAATAGCCAAAATAAATTGGAAAGGATGGGAAACCCTAACTGTGACTCACCGTTGGAGGAGCAGCGGGGGCAGGTCGGGGATCCCGTGGGGCAGAGGGCTGGGGTCAGCACCAGAGGCAGCAGGGGAGGACCTGGAAGAGAGCACAATATCTCAGCACCCCGGGGTGCCTGGCCAGGCCCCCCCACCCAGGAACCTGCGAGAACACCCTCCCAGCACTGCTGCCATGGCCACAGGCAACCTGGGGAACGGGCAAGCACAAGGGCAGAACGGCCCCGAGCTGGTAATTTTTTTTTTTATTCCAATCAGCCCAAACTTCTGGTCACTGATTCCAGTATTGAGAAAAAGAAGGAAAAACCCTGGCCACAGCACCAGCTTCATCAGAGTACACATGAATAAGGCGGGGCTCGGGCAAGGAGTCAGGATGTGTCCTGGGTTGAGTGAATGGTGGAGTTTTTTGGTGGCAGGGGAGGGGGCTATCGGGGCGGCACCCTGTGAGAAGCTTCTCGAAGCTCCCCCAGCTCCAAGTCAGCTCCACTTCTGTTTGAGAAATTGAGCCAATCAGCTGCGCCTCTGCGATAACGTATTTAAGAAGGGACGTGGTGACGGGCAGTCGGACTTGTGAGGAGGAGTTGGGGCAGCTGCGTGAACACCAAGGTCAGTGGAGGAACGGAGGAAGAAAGGAGGGGGGAGGTGTGCCGGAGCAGAGACCCCCCTGTATCCTGTGGGGAGACAGCAGGGCGGCCCCCCCCCGCCACCCATGGAGAGCTACGGTGGAGCAGACATTGATTTGTGGCCTGTGGCCTCCGTATGGATGATCAAGGTTCTGTGCCCGAAGAAGGCCGGGGTCTCGTGGGAAAAGGCAGCCCCGCTGCTGTAATTCAGCGCTGGGAGGATTGCAGCATGCGGGGGAGTCCCACGCCGGAGCAGCTCGGGAAGGGCTGCAGCCGTGGGAGGGAATCCAGTCGGAGGAAGTTAGTGACCCATGATGGAGCAGTGTGGGGAACGTTGCGGCCTGTGGGAGGAATTCAAGTCAGAGAAAGTTTGTGGAGGACTGTCTGCTGTGAGAGGGGGACCACGATGGAGCAGGGGGAACAAGTTCCGGACACTCCCCTCACCGAAGATGAAGAAAGTGGGAGCACTGCCTGCACCCCCCATTCCCTGCCCCTGCGCCACTGGGGGAGGAGGTAGAGATATCGGGAGCTGAGCTGAGCCCGGGAAGAAGGGAGGGGTGGGGGGAAGGTGTTCTCAAGATGTGGCAATGCTTCTCACTGTCCTACTCTGTTAGGTGTTGTTAGTGTCTGTAATAAATGTATGTTCTTTTTTTCTTCCCCTAACGAGTCTGCCTTTTGCTCGTGATCATAAAAGGGGGATTTTCCCCCATCCCAGTCCTATCTTGAACCCCAAGCCTGGCTCTCTGTCCCTTCTCATTGCCGGAGGGGAAGGGAGAGAGAGGTGCTGCATTGCGGTTGGCTGTCAATCAGGCCTAAACCACGACAGGATGTTGGGAGGACAAGGGGGTTGCGAGAAAACCCCTTTCCTTCTTCCCATCACCAGTGCAGGCAAGCCCCTCCGCCACAGCCCCACGGGCACATCCTGCCTCTCCACTGCCCACGCGGGCACAGAGCCGCGACCCACGGCAACGCAGCCCGTGAATTCACGGGGAAATTAACTTTTATTTGTCTTCCAGGTCATAGGTTTGAGTTTATCCCAAGACAAAGCCTAGCATTCAGGAAACGCATCATTAAAGAATTTGTCAGCAGTTTTCTTAATCAAATATGGGTCCGTCTCCCAGCAGCTCTGCTTTGTGTTATGTTATAACCCTTCCACCAACAGGCTGCACAGTAAGATCCCACCCATGACCCCGTGGTCTTGCACTGTGCACCATGTGTACACCCACCCACAGAGACTCCTGCTTCCAGAACAGCTTTTTTCCTCTGAATGTTTGGTACAGATAGACTTGTAAGCCAATCTCAAAACCTGCTATTTCTATGTCTTGCAGCCCCCTGAGGTGCACAGGAGCAGGTGAGCCAAACCATGCAGAGGAGCTGTACACTTGTTTAGCCACCTAACTGTTTTTTTCTGCGATTAAGGTAAAAGCCACCTCCGGGTACGGCTGCATCTGCATTTCCCAGAGAACTGGTGGTGCCATGCTGGGAACCTCCGTTCCAGCACTGGCATGAGTGCACCTCAAAGAATCCAAAAGCTGCCTCCAAGCAGAAACCTCAGCGTTCCAAAGCCGAGTGACCACAGCTCGTGACCACAGTTGCTTTAAGCATCCCCCGACAACTCCCATGGGGCTGTTTCCAGAAGCCGGGCATCCAGTGGCACCACCGTGGCCAAAGAGGCACTGGCTGTGACAGCTGCCTGTGCCCCCACATCACAAGACTGTGGTATCTTGCTCATCTGTGACCAGGGCAAGGCAGTCAGGAGTTGTCTTAAAAGGCGGCATCACAAACTTATGGAAAAGCAACCTTTTGGTCTGCTGGTAGACTATCATCCCCACCACCATCTCTCCATCTCCTGCACCTTATGTCTGCTCTGGCAGTACAAGAAGAGGAGTCAATTCATTTTTTTTTCCTGGTTGTTTCTCTCCAGTGGAACACACGTGGCTGCTGTGAGAAAGACACCAGCAAGCTTATCACACCAAAAACTTTCTATCTCCTGATCCATGGCAGTGGAGAGCACGGCTCCATCCCTACACGGCCAGCTCACCCGCTAGTTCTCATGGACGAGGTCCCACTAGTAAATTTGGTCAGCAGTGTTCGTGAGGGGTCACCCAGGATGCTGAAGGAGTCATTTGCGAACAGCAGAGTGGCAGAAGTACCCAGATCCCAGCAAAATCACACCTATTGCCCCCAGACAACAGCACCCGAGGATGCGATGATTTCCAAAGCACTGACACGGTCACTCCCCTCAAAAGTCAGCCTCTGTAGACTATGACATTTTGACATCCCTAACTCACACCAGAGAGTCACTAAGCATCCCGAGCAGCAGGGACCCCACGCAGGACAGCAGTCCCCAGGGGCTCGGCAGCACCCTCAGCTTGATGCACTGGAGAGCTCGGCCACCTCGTTCCAGGGGGCTCAAAATTTCACAGCGCTTAGTCTTGAGTGGGTAAAGAGGAATTATGGAGTTAAGGCCAAACGCTCTCTGAATAAGGTTTGACCATATGGCATCGATAGGATGCAAATGTGAATGAGCTGTGTGTGGCTCCCTGCTTGTGCCCAGCCTTGGAGGTGAGCTGACAGGTACTTCCACGTGTGAGCAGGTCTTGTGCCTGGTCCCACGGGGCTGTGACAACACCCCTGCTTTTGCTCAGGAAGAGCAAGTTGGTGAGCACTGCTCTTGAGGACATCTGTGGGCGTCCAAAGCAGCACCTAGGCACGGAGGCTGCCCCTGGCACCGCCTTGGTGGGTGTCCAGAGCACCCCAGCTCACACGCTGCCTGCTGCCCAGCCCAAACCAGCAGATCACACCAGGAATTGTTTTTAAGGGCCCTTCAAAGCAAAGCTTTCTCAGGCAAAACCAGATTTTCAGCAGCCCTGCCCAGAGCCTCCCCATCTCTGTGCCTACTCTGAGCTGGAGATGCAGAAGCAGCCCCCTAACAACCCTGGCACGCTGCCCTATCCTATCATCCCAAATAACAGCAGGTCCTCCCATATCCTTTACTACATACCACCCTCCCCCCCTAAAAAAAAAAAAACAAAACCAAAACCTGTTCCGACAACCAGCCTGCCTCTCCTGCAAACTCAGCCAGCCAAGGTGGACTTCAGCTTCCCCTCACCTGCGAGTGCTTGGCTGTTTGTGCCCATAGGGCATCTCACCTGGCCCTGTGTTTGGGACTACAGGGCACCTGTGTGGGGTCCAAGGTCTGCAGAAAGCATGGAGAGCTTGCAGATGTCCTCCTGCTTTGCTGCCAGCCCGGCAGGTAAAAAGTCAAGCTCTTTGGGAAAACACATTGTGCAGCTGGTGAGGGATGCACTGGATGGGACGGGGATGGGAATGTTCTCTCCCCATATCACCAAACCTATAGTACACCTTATAGACAGGAACCTCAGCAAGACAGCTCCATCTGCATCATCCCCCCTCCGGCTGCTGTCCCCCTTCATGTTGGACGGGACCCCTTGCAGCAGCCCCTGAACTGCTGGGATCTGCTTTGTTCTGCTGCTCGGGGTTTTCGGTGCCGCCGCTCATTGCGCAGGGGAGAAAACGATCCTCCCCTGACCCGTGTTCCCATCACCCGCCTTACTGGGTGTTTTACGCAGACAGAGGCAACGATTTTAATGTCCCAGTGAACAAGCTGTCGGGACGCATCAGCCTCAAAGGGCAGACTTCAGAGATGGCTTCTCCTCCCAGGCGCTGCCTGGGCAAGGAAAACCAATTCCAGCTCTGCACACACACGCCACGCGTGTGCCACCGGTGCCTGTTATTTTCCAGCCTTTTAACAAAACACCCTTCAAAACCGCACTCCTCAAGAGGGGGAGGTGGGGAGCCCAAGGTGGGGGGGGGGGCTGTAGGTGAGCTGCCACCAGGACAGCACGGCCGGCGGGCAAGCAGAGCGGGCAGCCCTGCGGGCAGGAGCCGGCGTGACGTGATGGGACCGGAGCGCTCTGAAGCCGTCAAGAGTCTCGTCAGAGATGAGCTGAGAAAAGCCATGAGCAGAGCTGACATCTGCCCCCTGGGCGGGTACCTAATGAGCGGAGACATTGTCCATTTGGGGAGACGAGGTAAAGTTAAAAGATTTCCAAGCTGACACCTGGCAGCCTCCATTGGTATTCCTGGAAAAACGGCAAAGGGAGAAGAACGGAGACGGGGGGCCGAAACTGGTCCCCACTCCAGGCTCTGCAGTGGTGGGTGAGTGGGATGGGGTCAGTGTTGGTGTATCAGCATCTCGTCTCCACTGCCCGGAGCTCCCCTCTTTGTGATTTTCTGCCACGTTAGAAGAGAAGCCGGTGCTTTCTGAGAGAAGCCCCACTGGGAGCATCACTGGAGGGGCCTGGCAGGGTCCCACGTGGCCCCATGCAAGCTGAAAAGACAGTGGCATGGGGAGAGCACGTTCCTGGGTCCAGCAGCACACCAGACCCGCTCTTGGCCAGGATCCGTGTCCCATGGTCCCCATAGCCTGGGAGCAGAACAGCATTCAGCAAAGCCCTGGCCCCACAACATCCCCCCCTCTGCTGCTTCCACAAACCTAATTCAGTCAGTCCCTATAAATCCAGTCCCCGTAAACCAACTTGTCATCAGCTCTTCCCTACCTTAGCTCCAGCCTCCTTCCTATCCACTACCTTCAAATGGTGCCTGGTGATGAGATGGGAGCAACGGAGTGGAAGAGGGGAGAGACCTGTAGTGCCCCTATCACCTCCTGGTTTTCCCCTCCAGAAAATCTGGGCAGCAAACTCCTCTCATTTACCCAAAAAGCCACACTGTGGGTCCACCTGGGAAAACCCGCACTGAGATGCTTTCCTTCCCATCCACCTGCCTGCTCTCCCAAAGGCCAGGCGGGTTTTACAGGGCGATCATCTCCTTGGGACCATCCTGTGTGGAAGGGGAGGCCCTCGAGCATCCTCAAGGCTTTCTACCGGCCAACAACAGCTCAAAAAACCTGCCATTGCTCCGCACAGTTTTCATCGGCTCCATTGACAAACACTCTCAGGTGTAAACCACATTGCAAGTGGGATTTTCACCCGCGTATCTCTGGGGGTTTATGCTCCTTTCTGACAGATACAAGCAGAAATGCCCAACCCAAGGTGCAAGCCCAGGGGTGGCTTTGCCTGGGATGCCCGAGAGCGGAGACAGCAGCTGGGATCTGGCTGCTCCTCCCCGGAACCCGCTGACTTGCTGGGCTCGACCAGATGGAGCAGCTGCAAATCCCCCCGTAAGCCAGGGAAGGGGACTAATCTCCTAGAGGACAAATCGGTTGGCAAGGGGGGGAAGCTCAGCATTCCACCTTTCCCTCTCTCTTCCGGCAAATGCCAGCAGCATCCAGCATGATTGGAGGGACCCCAGTATCCCCAAGGGCAGAGGAGGCAGCGCCAGGGGCTTGGGTACGTGATGGAGACCTGGGTTTGGGACAAGTGGACATTTCATTTAGGTCACAGAAAGCTATGTCATAAGTTCCCTGCCCAGGAAGACATGGCAGCTGATGTCTCCTTAGGGAAAGCTGTATCTAGTGAGTTTTTTAAAACTTCGAGAGGGCTCCCCGGCCATGAAGGGTTGAGGCTTTGCTGCACACGAGAAGTCCTTGGTGGGCTAAGGAAATCTTAGGAGCAGTCACTGGGATGAGATGGATCATCGGCAATGGGATCCCTGGTCCATCCTCACCTTTGAGGAAAAACGGGGATCAGACCCATTGGAGTGGGCTAGTTTAGGCCCTCAGGACGGGATCTGGAGAGCCAAATATGCCCTCTCCAAACCCTAGACATCACTAAAAGGATTAGGAGTGATACAGCACACCGACGTCAAAGCACTCAAGCCGGAGCCAAGCCTCAGCAGCAGATGCCACCAGCAGCTCCCCGGGACAGCACCCATGGCCGTGCCCACCCCACGCATTTCAGAAGGGTGTTTTTGCCCAGAAGATTCCCGAGCAGAGGTCAGCCCAAGGAGACCCCAGGGTCTGCACAGCCCGGTCCTCCTCCCTGGTCCATTCGCAAGCAGCCAACCCCCTCCAATTCATTTTCCTTCTGCTCCAGAGGCAACCGAGACCGAGGAGTTCAGTGAATTTGGTGCCATGGTCCATTCTTTTGGGTTGTTTTGTTTTTTGTTTGGTTTTTTTTTGTTTGTTTTTTTTTTTTTTTTTTTTTTTTTCCTTGCTTAAGGGCTGGCAAAACTACTCCTGAGTGCTTGCAAAGGAGAAACATCTTGCCAGATAGTCAGCTCTACTCACAAAACTCTGGGTGTTTTCTATCTGTGACAGGGAGAGCTGTCGATGGCAGGCACGTTAGCTCTCATAAACACTTGAAAGGAGACTGAAGCCCAGGGCAAGGAGAGAGACCATCCAGGCTGGAACGCATGGCATCTGGGCATGGTTTGCACCCTGGTCCTCTGATGGAGGTGCATGGGTGACCGGCAGAGCCCGGTGAAGCTCTAGCTGAGCTGTAACAGACATCAGCATGGCACAGCATCTCTTCTGCCCCACGCCTGGAGAGCCAGACCCCCGGCACAGGGTCTGCATGCGAGGAAATGTCCCGGGAGAGAGAGGGTGAGCTATCGGTGCATGTCCCCAGGGACCACAGCTACCCAAGCTGTGCAGAAAGACCAGGAAATTTCAGGTCTCTCACTTGTCCATCCCCTGTCATGTGCTGGCGTCCAAAATCCCCTGGAGGGGCAACATATTTTCCAGGTGGGGAAACTGAGTCACAGAGGTGTCCAGGCTGGTGAGATGTCTGAAGTGAGGTCCCCCTAGGTGGATTTTTCAGCAGACACTAACGCCCCGATGATGCTACAGGGCTGCTTCTCTGCACCTTTGCCACGTGCTCACCGTCCTCCCCATCACAGCCTCGTGTGCCCTCCAAGATCCCTCGCCCTGCACAAGCTCAGGGAACCCACCCGGGGTGTCCCTGGGGCACCCTCTTCCCCTGACACAAAGCATCTGACATAGCCAGATCAGGAGAATCTCCCCCCAAAGCTATGAGAAGGCACAAATGTGTGGATTTTGCCCGCTGGCTTTGGGCTTTGCAGCTTCCCAAGATTCCCAAGGTGCGTTTCACTGAGTGGCCACGGGCAACCACAGCAGAGAGGCTCACCCACCCCGTGGGGCTGCACAGGCACAGGGAAGGGTTTCATTTCACAGATACCCTGGGGTCTGCTCTCTACAGCTCCCCAAAACATTGCCTTCATATCAGTCAAATAAAAGCCTTTAAAGAGTGAATCATTTCTGTATTTGAATGAAGGCCAGAGGCACAGAGTGAGTCAGGCTGTGAGCATCTCTGGAGGTCTCTGGTCCAGCTCCTGCCCCGAGCAGGGTCACTCCAGAGATGGATTAGGCTGCCTGGCATGAAATCATTTCACCTTGAAGCCTCAAAACCTTTTCTGAGCCCTCCACTTTTTTTGCCTGCACACCAGGAGGGTCTCTCCCGTGGGTTTTCCCGTAACACACAAAAGGGAGGAGACGTTCGCTTCAGGCACCGAAACCTGGGTGCCCTCGCCCACTGCCATGGCCAAAAGTCCTCATTTTTATCATTTCAGGAGCACAACAGGCAGCGGGGACCTCATCACAGAACATCCAGCTTCCTAACATCACCTGGGCACGCACCACCCCTCGGCAGCACGGAGCTGGCCTGGCCTGGCCTTGCCACCAGCCCCGCGTGTCCTGTGCCGGGGAGGGACATGTCACTGTCGTGACTGGAGTCCCCTGGGCAGCCCTGGACCTGCGGCGGGGCCGATCCTGCCTCCTTACCCCCAGGGCCGGTCCCCTGCGCAGCGCGACTCGGAGGCCCATCTGGGAAGAGGTGACGGCGCAGCTCCTGCCCTGCGGAGACAAGGGCTGAGAGTCAGGGCGAAAGCATCCTCCAAACAACGCGCCCTGACAGGGCGCAAGGCAGCCCAGCAGCAAAACCCCCACCCCCCGCCCAAATCCTTGCAAGGATGCTGGAGCAAAGATGCCGCAACCAGAGGTGCGCGACCACGTCACGGAGGTTTTTGTGTGTGTGTGTGGGGTGGAGGAACCTGCGGTGCGTTTGCACAGCGGGGAAGGTTTTAAGGCAGAGCCCTCCCCGGCAGCACCCCCAGCCCCACGCTAGCCGCAGTTCGGTGTTTCCATCAGTCCCGCGTTCGTGCGATGTTCACCACGAATGCGGTGGGGGGAGCTCCAAACCACGCACGTAGCGAAGCCGAGAAACCCTTCCAGGAGCCGCAGCTCAGCCGCGAACGTCGGGAAGAAGGCGAGGAGCATTTGCAACCTCCGCTGGCACCTCATGCTTCTAAATGCGCTGCTTACGGTATTTTCTTCCAGCGGCTTTTAAGAAAAGGCTCTGCCCCCTTCCCACGCCCAGCTGAGCGCGGATGGGCCGTGCTGGTGCTGGTCGCTCCCCCCGTGCCCACCCCAGCAGGTCCCCATCCCAGGGACACCCGTGCAGGTGCTTCAGCATCACCCAGCTGGAGGTGCCGCCACCCCAATTCCCTAAGGACAAGCGGAGCCTAGCACTACGGGGAAGCAGCTTTTCCCAAAACCCTGGCCCAGCAGACCGGGGCCCTCCAGGGCACTTGGATTTTCAGGAAACCATCACCTTGGGCTGGCAAAGTCTGGACAAGAGGTTTTACTCCTTGGTGGAGGATGCATGAGTCATCCTCCAGCCGCTGACCTTGAAACCGAGCCAAAAAAGCTTTTACCCAAAGCAGCCAGCAATAGGATACCAGATCTGGAGCTCCAGGATTAACCCCTTCCTGGGAGATGCCGGCTGGTTGCCCTTGCATGTGGGCCCTTTCTCCTCCTCTGGATCACGCTGGATTTCCCCACCGTGTGTGCCACCAAGCTGGTGGACACGATGCCTCCCCTGGCAAGGCAAGGAGGACACACGCCACGAGACCCTGGTGATGGGCTGCTGCTGGACCAAAGAGGGCTGTAACCACATTCCCCCCATCTGGGGAATGGCGTCTCTCTTCTGTGTGTCTCATCGCAAAGCCTGCCCAAACAGGCTCAGCAAAGGGAAGAAGCAACTGAAAAAATAAGGTGGAAAATTCAAAGTGCTTCGTTTTGCCATTTTCAGAGGAAAGCGGTTGGGTTTTGTGCTCCTGAGTGCTTGCTTCATTTGGGAAGTCACCAACCGTTCATAGCTCCTCTAAAGGGCTCCCCATCCATCGGTGTGCCAAGTCTTGATGGGCTTTCCCCAAAATGGGGCGAACCTGATAGCTGGAAAATCCCATATTCCCTCCTTGACAGAAAATGGCCCCTTGGGGACACTCAAAGGAGGGACTTCTGTGTTAAAAACAGTTTTTCTCCCCGGTTTCCCTGCAGACAATCAGAGAGGTGCCAGCACCAGTTTGCTTGCCAACCTGATGAAAAGCTGACGTATTTCTGCCGTGTGGAAAGGCGAGAGCCTCAACCCACGGCCGTGCCGGTGGGCACGGGCATCGCTGCTCCGGGACAGGGAGGGAAGGTGAAGGATGTCCCCGTCCCTGCCCCCGGGGCTGGGAGCGAAGGGTCCACCCTGGGGACACAAACGCTGTCCCACCCAGCCTGGCACATGTCCCTGGCGTCCCCGCAGCCTCTGTGCAGGGAAGGACAGCCAGCAGGCACTGTGCGGGATGTTGGCTGCATCTTAGCGCCGTTAATTGACCTCCCCAATTAGCAGGGTGAAGAAGCAGCGCGGGGCTGGGGCAGGGCACTGCCAGCAGCCCCGGGGCACCCGGGGCTGGCTCTGCAGGGGTTTGTTGAGGGACACCACGTGTGCCAGGGGTGTCAGCAGCACCCCAGCCTCGCTGTGCTCACTGGACACACCAACTCAGCTGGGTGGGAGCCAGCTCCAGCCCCAAAACCAGCCCACACTCTCCTGGAGCCATTGCAAAGAGAAGGGGAAGGAGCCAGGGGTTATATTTGTTATATTTGGGAAAGCCTCTCACTGCAGCCCCACAGACTGGGGCAGCACAGGGGCTGAGCATCTCTCGACCGACCCCAGAAGTGTTTGGCAGCGGTTTCGGCACCTGCACGGGCCTGCCCTGAATTTCATGGCAGAGCTACACCTCCGCCACCATCATTTAAAGCCAGCTCAGGCAGGGGTTTCCCTCTTCCATCCTCCCAGAGGCAACTATGGAAATGCTCCTAGGAAGCACGGGTTAGGTCACAGAGATTTCGGGGGCCTCCTTCACCTCTCACAGGGCTCTCCATCCCCAGGCTGCTCGCTTACAGGAGGTGCTGCTACCCATCCAGATCTGCCCCATCTGCCCCCGGCTCCCCGTGCCACAAGGTGAGGGAGGACGCCCTGCGGAGCTGGGGCTCTGCGCCATTCCCGGGGGGCCATGCAGCAGCTGCACCAGGGTGGGGATGCTCTGCAGCACAGCCAGAGAATGCCGCGCAGGGCTGGGTTGCTGCAAGGAGGGTGGTATGCCCTCCCTCCTCCACCCCCCCCTTCTCCAGGATGGGTCAGCAAAGCCTCACCCAGACCCCCCTCACCAGGAGGACCTGGGCAATAAATGCTGCTTGCTGCCCCAGGGGCGGTACCCAAATAAACCTTATCCCTCTCGACCTGGCTCCATGTGAGGAAAGGTGCAGAGGGGGGGAGCAACCCCAGCACAGGGCACCCTGTGCTCCCTTGAGGCACGTGCCGATGAACCAGCCCAATTTCAGAGGAAGGACAGAAAGGTCCCAGCTGGGGAAATGGGCTCCCAGGAGATGATTTGCCCAACTGCGGAGGAAGCTCGGAGGCGTGTGCTCCAGAAACAAGGCCTGGGCTCCCTCCCTCCCCCCCACACTGATGCTGGGGCTGCATCTGCCCCGGCTGGGTGCACCGATGAGCCGTTCGGTGGGTGCTTGGTGACAAGCACGCCCCGAGCCAGGGCTCAACAAAAAACACCAGACCGACACCAGTGGGACCCCCGGGGAAGCTCGCGCCCAAAAGCCAGTGGCCAGGGCTCGCCCACACAGCATCCCTGCCATCACCTGTCCCCACGCACGCTTCTCCCTGCAGCAGCGGGTGGGGGGCTCGGCAAGTTGCCACCCATGGGGACCCCCACTTGTGGGCCAGGGCCACCGGGAGCTTGTTTTGGTAGAGGCCAGTCCCTGCCGAGCCAAGCAGCATCCCAGACTGGGAGTCAGGGACGGAAAACTCTCAGCAGCCGCGCGGAGACGCGCACCCCGGGAGGTGGCAGGGCATGGGGGGGAGCCCCTAGGGATGGGGACACGGGGGGGGGGACCCACCACTCTGCGCGGCCACCCTGGGTTTGGAGGGTGTTCGCCTCCTGCTCCCGGGCTGGTTGGAGGAGTGACGGCGCACCGGGAGCCGCTTCCTCGTCGGAGGGGCTGTGTCCCCCTCCCCGCCACCAGCCCCACCCGGGTCCCCGCCGGCACCGGCAGCTCCGTCCCGGCGCCCCCCTCCCCAGAAAACAACGCCCCAGAGAAGACAAACCCCTACCTGCCCCTGGACGGACGGACGGACGGACGGACGGAAGGACGGAGCGACGGGCTGTGCAGAGCGGGGAGGGATCGGGCAGGGGCTGGGCAGGAGGAGGGGAGCGGCGGAGTTGGGGGCCGGGAGGGCGCGGCGGGGCTCGCTCCGAGGGAGGCGGCAGCCGGAGCCGAGCGGTGGGTCCTGCCCGGCCCCCCCCCCCGACCCCCCCGACGCACCGCCCCACTGCTCCCTGCCTGCCCCACTCGCCCTGTCCCTGCCCCAGCCCTTCCCGCCCCTGCCCCTGAGTCTACCCCAGTCCCTCCCCCCCCCCCCCACCCCCCCCCAGCTCCGGCCCCAGCCCACACCCCTGTCCACAGCTCTGCCCCTACCCAGATCTCCGCCTCTGCCCTGCTAAAGTCCATGCCCCTGTCCCAGACCCTGCTCAAGCCCCTGCCCCTTCCCCAGCACCAGATCTTGACACCCACTCTACCCCAGCCCTTGCCCTCGATCCTGCCCTTACACCTGCCCCTGCCCTCCCCCTGCTCCTGTTCCTGTCCCTAAACCTGCTCTGCCCATACCCAGCCCCATCCTTTGTGCAGAAGCCAAATCCCATCCCCAAGCCCCCCCCCCCCCCTCCCCAAGCAGCTGGGCGCTGGGGGACACCTAGGGATTTGTCCCCCCACCCCGTGTGAGCCATCCGATGGGAAGCTGGGGTGCCCCGCGCCGCCAGCACCCTGCCCTCTTTGCACAAATGCATTTGCCAGCTTGGCCTTTGCACCCCTGGGTGCTCTCCCAGGCTGGGGGGAGTCCAGTTACCAACTGGGGCTGGTAGTGGCAGCATGACTTTGCCAAGGGACGCACACTGGGGTGGGTGGGTGGGGGTCTCGGGTGACATTGCTCAGAGTCGGTAAAGCCCACCAGGGCGCTGGCATTGCCTGGGTGCACAGCATCGCCCCTGACTCACACCTTGGGGTGCTCCTGCGCCCAGGTCCTGCGACACATAAGGAAGGGTCCCAACCCCCTGTCACCACCAAGGGAGAGAGAGATGGATCCCACCAAGGACAGTGTCCCTGCCCGCGGGAGGTACGTGGTGGCCACGGGGAGCCTGTGGACACACCTGCTGTGGTCTTGCCGTCCTCCCCAGCACCAGCAACCCAGCTGGGAGGGGATGATACAACCTGGCTCTTCCCGCAGTGTCAAAGCCATCCCAGTGCCCTGGTTTTCTGCCCGGGGAGGAATCTTCTTCAGGAAGTTAAACATGTCATTATTTAAGAAAGGACTTGTGATGCCCCCCCCCCCCCCCCCCCCCCTAAATAACACACCCTGGCTCTATCTGTTCGGCTGAGAAAAGGAGGCAAAACCCCCAAGTGAAATAAAAGCTGGTCCAGGCCCCCACCACAGTGGTTTGGCACTGAGCATCTTTGCACGGGTTTTGGGGGGCTCAGTGGGATGGGAAGCCTCCGGGTGAGAAGACCCCAGGCTGGGGTGCGGCTGCCTGGATCCCTCCCAGCCCTGGGCAGTGGGGTGTGACAACCCTCAGACATCTGGGATCCCACTGCCCTGCTTCTAGGCGGGAACGTATAAATATTTCAGCGGAGTAGCCGAGCCCTGTCAGGTTGCATTTGCTTCTGCCAGGGTAAGTGCTCGGAGAGGGGGAGGAAAGGCGGGGAGAGAAGATCCTCTCAGATGTGTCATCTCCCAGGAGATGGGGGCACCAGCTCCGGGGCTCGGTCCTCGAGGGTCTCCACCTCTGCTTAGTTTGCCTCAAAGGATGCTCTTGCCTCTGGAGTCCCCCTTGTCCTGACGTTTGGGTCTCACCCCATAAATGCATCCTGGGGGGGCTGCTGCCAGGCTGTGCCGCGGGGAGAGGGGCTTTGACGATTTTGCTGAGCCTGGCAGGCAGCGGCACGTCCAGGACCCCCGGGGACGCGGCTGTAACAAATCCCCCCACTACCCCGCCGTAAAAAAAAAAAAAAAAAAAAAAAACGGAGGGCGCAGAAATAAATCCAAGCAGCCATGGGCAGTGGGGAGCGGGAAGGGGAGGCGTTCAATCACTGGAGGGGGGAGGAAGCCAAGGCGGTGGGCAGCGTCCCCCCTCGGGGGTGCTGCTGAACCAGAGCGGTGGGCTGCCCCGCAGCCCAGAGGCCACGGTAGATGGGCGGGACACAGACATCCCCCCCCCCCAACCCTCGCCGTGGAGGCTGCGCGGGGCGAGGGATTTCCCCCTCCCGTCTCGGACACGCAACCACGGGTTACCGGCAAGCGCCAGCCCCCGGAGGTGGCCGAGCTCCTCCTCCTTTTCTTCCTCTTCCTCTGTTTCCCCCTCCCTTTCCTCCTGCCCGCTGCACTGTGGGGCTTGTAGTCCCCCCGCCGCCCCGCACATGGGGCACGACTACATTTCCCGAGGGCCCCCTCCATCCTCCTCCTCCTCCTCCTCCTCCTCCTCCTGGGTTTGCTGCGGCTCCGGCTCCGGCGGCCGCGGGGCTGCGGGGAGCCCCGGGACACCCCACCCCACCCCCGAACCCGGGTGGGTACAGCCCGCCGCCCCCATGCGCGCCGCCCCCCAGGTACGGTCCGGGCTGTGGGGGTACCGGGTGCTGGGGGTCCCCCTCCGCCCCCATGGGGTACCGGCATGTGGGGTGTCCCTGGCTTGCCGGGGTACCCCCCCCGGGATGCTGGGGGTGTGGGGTGTCCCCAGGGTGCGCAGGGGCCCATGTCTTAGGGCGAGCTGGTGCCACCCCCCCTCCCCAGCACCCTCCTCTACCACCTGCACCCCAAACCACCCCGCAGCACCTGAAGGAGCCACCCATCCCTTGGGTGCTGGGTGCTGGGGGGAGGGAGGCAGATAGGAGCCCACACGGTGGGCAAGGGTCTGTTTTGGGGAGCTTCCCGCCCCCTGTTTTGGGGCAGGTGCCCCAGGGACTCGCGCACCCCCACCCCCTGCCCGCTCGCTGGCTCCCCACAAAACGCACCGCGCTTCGGCGGCGTCACTTCTGTGTCACCGACGTGTGGCTGTGGGGAGAGCATCCCCCCCCTGCCCCAGTCCCCCTCCCCGCTTCCCCAGAGCTGTCCCCTCGGGATGGCCGTGGCTCCCCCCCCGGAAAGCTGTGCCTGAGCTCGGCCACCCCTCATCACCCGTGGCCCCGGGGTTGACGGTGTAGCGTGACAGCCATCCCTTGTCAAGGTCACGGCACGATACGCCGGGGATAACCAGGTTCACACGGTGATAACCGCCGGGTTTGTACCAGGGCGCGGGGACAACCGCGCCGAGCCGGGAGCATCCCTCCGGACTGGCTCCCCCTCACCTCGAGCCCCAGCAGCTCCGTGGGTGCTCTGGGGAGGTGGTGCCGGGTCTGGCCCGGATGGCATCGGGGTTGGGGTCCCTGCGTGTGTGGGGACACGCGTGCCAGGAGGGAGGAGCCTGGTGCTCCTGGGTGGCACGGGGGCAGCTGCGCGGAGCTGCCTCCCGCGTTTAGTGCGGGTGGTTTCCTTCGGGCCGGGGGGACGAGCACGTGTATCCATCCTGGGTAGACATGAAGGGAAATGGGTGGGCGTCTGCTGCCCAGACAGGTTTGGAGCAGAGGGTGGAAAACAGCTGGGTGGGTGGGGGGGGTGTGTGCTGCTGGAGGTGACGATCGCTCGCACCCGCAGCCCGGCTCGGGGACGAGCGGGCGATGGGGCATAGTCCAGTCAGTCACAGCTGGAAGAGGCCCCGGGTGGGCATGGCACAGCACGGTGCTGGGGTGGCTCTTTGGTGGGGGTTTAGCCCCTGCTCCTTGCCCTTCCCGGCACAGCGAGGGGGCTGTGGAGCCCCACCCGGCGCCCAAGCTGGAACCAGCTCTGGGTAATAGCTGGCTGGCAGTGGGCGAGCCCCAAATCCCTGCCTTGCTCCCCAGGGACTTACTTAAGAGGCAGGGGCTGTTTGTCCAGCTGCAAGCTCCAGGATGTGTGCGTTTTAAACACTGAAATCCCATGGGATTTCCCCATTAACCGTATGTGTTATCAGGGGGGGGGGGGGCCGGGCTCTTTAGAGGTGAGCCACCCAGCCTCGCTGCACGGGGTGGCAGCGGTGGGGCGACACGGGCTGGGACCATGGACTCCCTTTTTAACGGCCGTGATTAGTCGTTCTGCAACTAGCAGGGTAATCAGGTTTCTAGACCTTGCTCCTGTGGCGTGGATTGGCACACGTGCATTTTTATGGCTCGAAAAGCGCCGTCGGTGACTTGTCGTGGGAGTGGGGAGCACTGGGAGGATGCCCGGGCCAGGCCTTCTCCTTTCCCACCTTCATCCCGTGACTGCTAATCGGGCCTGCCCGGTGCTGCCAGCTTCCCTGTGTCCAAACCTCAGGATTTGAGTATTTAATCCCCTCCAGAACATGAACCTCGTGGCATTTTGTGCTCTCCCTAGGCTGGGCGATGCCGCCCGAGCATCGTGTCCCGCCGGGGGGAGAGCCGAGGGGCAGCTGCTTGCCTGTGGCTCAGCTAAAGTCCTGCTGACCGCCCAGCTAATGTGTAACACAGGGTGGCCTCGTGCCTGGTGTGCACATTAACTGGCTTTCACAACCAGCACTGTCCCCGTGGCCGCTGCCATCTCCCTCCGGAGCATCCCTGGCACAGGGCGTCTGCATCCCTCTGCCTCCGGGTTTGCAGCGGAGGACTTGGCTCAGAGGGAAGCGTCGCTTCAGGGAGGGGTTAAAACCCCACTGACTCTTAAAAGGGAGAAAAAGGAGGTGGTGGGAGCAGAGGACGCTCTGCTGCAGGGCTGGGTGCTTTGTGCATCCAGGCTCATTTACACAGGATTTACAAACGCTGCCCAAAATGGGCCTCCCCCCTCCCTCCAGCTTTTGCACAGCGAGACGCGCGGCTGCTTTTCTCCTTGCAAGAACATCTCCTGGGGAGAAGGTAGTGGTATTTATTTGCCTTGCGATTATGGAGGAATTTGAGCCTGTGCCAAACGCTGCTTTCTCCCCAGAAACTGCAGCGACGTGGCTTTCAATGCGTCGGAGAGTGCCTGCGGCCAGAGAGGGGCTGCCTGGCCCGGCAAAGCCTGTCTAGCTGACAGTCCCCGGGATAACGCCGCCGTCCCGCTGCAGAGCCGGCGGAGCCATGCCTAAGAAGGATGACGACGCCAAAAAGCCAACGTCGGAGACGGTACCGGACCAACGCTGGAAACTACAAGTCTTCTACCTCTGCTTCTACGGCTTCATGACACAGATCCGGCCCGGGGAGAGCTTCATCACCCCGTATCTCCTGGGGGCCGACAAGAACTTCACACGGGCAGAGGTGAGCCGTAGGGCAGCCTGTCCCCACTGGTGTCCCGTTTTCTGGACACCGTCACCACCCTGGGGCTGGTCAGAGCATCCTCCTGTGGTCCTGGGGTGTGGAAGGCTGCAGGCATGCCACGTCCCGGGCAAGGCGCCGTGTAGAGATGGGCGGCGGTGCGTTTTCGGGGGGGAGAAGGTGGTGTGGTGTGGCTCCAACTGGCACTGGGCTGCGAGGTCACCCTGTCCCCAAGTCCTAGGCTCAACTTTCCCAGGCATAAGATCTCGTGCCCAGGCTGGCAACTGATTTTGGGGGATGAATCTTGACCCCTGCCTGCCTGGGCAGCCGGCGGGATGGCAGGGGGGGTGCTGAGCTGGGAGAAGCCTCGTCCCATCCTACCCGTACTGGTGCTGTGGGGCAGAGGGCTGGGCACCGCCAGGCTGCTGGCAGCGATGGGGTTAGACAAGGAGGGGCCACCCGTCGTCGTCCCACGACCAAGGGCCGCTGGCCCTGTTCCCAGCAGGCTGCTGTGTCCGTGGGAACGCCGTGTTCCCGGCACGGGAAGGGGCTGAGGCTCAGCCAGGCCCCCGGCCGAGCGCGCCGCGGGCCACATTCCTCCCCGAGGGTGTCCCGCGATGGGGGTCAGCAGCTGGTGCCCACCCAAACCGCCTTCCTCGGGGCTGGGGACATCCCGCAGGGACGTGGCCTGTGCTCAGCCCCTCCTTGCACGCACGGCAGGTGACCAATGTGATCACGCCAGTGCTGACCTACTCCTACATGGCCGTGCTGGTGCCCATCTTCCTGCTGACGGACTACCTGCGCTACAAGCCGGTGCTGGTGCTGCAGAGCCTGAGCCACATCTCCATCTGGCTGCTGCTGGTGTTGGGCACCTCGGTCCTGGCCATGCAGCTGATGGAGTTCTTCTACGGTGTCACCATGGCCGCCCGCATCGCCTACTCCTCCTACATCTTCTCCCTCGTCGCCCCGTCCCGCTACCAGCGTATGGCCAGCTACTCCCGCTCCGCCGTCCTCCTGGGTGTCTTCACCAGCTCGGTGCTGGGCCAGCTCTGCATCACCTCGGGTGATGTCTCCTTCCTCACCCTCAACTACATCTCGTTGGGCTTCGTCAGCTTCGGCCTCGTCCTCACCCTCTTCCTCGAGCGGCCCCGGCGCAGTCTCTTCTTCAACAGGGCCGAGGGGGCTGGCGACGGGGCTGCGCCCGCCGAGCTGGACAAGATGACCGGGGGGGACGGCGGTGGGGGGACGGGGGGCTGGCGGGAGGCGGCGCTGTGCCGTATGCTGGGGGAGGTGGGAGCGTTGGCCAGGCAGCCCCAGCTCCGGCTCTGGTCCCTGTGGTGGGTCTTCAACTCGGCCGGTTACTACCTGATGCTGTACTACGTGCAGATCCTCTGGAACGAGATCTACCCCGCCACGGACAACCGCCGGGTGTACAACGGAGGGGTGGACGCTGCCTCCACGCTGCTGGGTATGCTTGCCTGGGGTGGGGGTGCAGGGGGACACCCCCATCCCTCTGCACCCCCCGGGAATGGCTGGGGACACTGGGGAGGCAGGGGGACACCCCCATCCCTCTGCATCCCCCGGGAATGGCTGGGGATATTGGGGATGGCTGGGGACACCCCCATCTTGCTGCATCTCTGGGAACGGCTGGGGATATTGGGGATGCAGGGGGACACCCCCATCCTGCTGCATCCCTGGGAATGGCTGGGGATATTGGGGATGCAGGGGGACACCCCCATCCTGCTGCATCCCTGGGAACGGCTGGGGATATTGGGGATGCAGGGGGATACCCCCATCCTGCTGCATCCCCCGGGAATGGCTGGGGATATTGGGGATGGCTGGGGACACCCCCATCTTGCTGCATCCCTGGGAATGGCTGGGGATATTGGGGATGGCTGGGGACACCCCCATCTTGCTGCATCCCCGGGAATGGCTGGGGACACCCCCATCCTGCTGCATCCCTGGGAATGGCTGGGGATATTGGGTATGCAGGGGGACACCCCCATCCTGCTGCATCCCTGGGAATGGCTGGGGACACTGGGGATGCAGGGGGACACCCCCATCCCTCTGCACCCCCCGGGAATGGCTGAGGATACCCTTGTCCTGCTGCATCCGTGGGAATGGCTGGGGACATTGGGGATGCAGGGGGACACCCCCATCTTGCTGCATCCCTGGGAATGGCTGGGGATATTGGGGATGGCTGGGGACACCCCCATCCTGCTGCATCCCCCGGGAACGGCTGGGGACACCCCCATCCTGCTGCATCCCTGGGAATGGCTAGGGACACTGGGGATGCGGGGGGACACCCCCATCCCTCTGCATCCCCCGGGAATGGCTGGGGACGCAGGGGGGACACCCCCATCCTGCTGCATTCCCCGGGAACAGCGGCCCTTACGGCATTGCTGGGGCTGCAGGAGGTGGTCTGGCAGTGGTGATGAGATGAGCATCGCTAGGTTGGGGGACGCAGGGTGGTCCCACGCTGGTGAGGTGTTGACAGCATCCTTCCTCCCCTCCTCCCCAGGGGCTGGTGCCTCCTTCGCCGCCGGCTACGTGAAGATCCGCTGGACGCTGTGGTCGGAGCTGGTGATCGGGGCGGTGACGGCTTTCCAGGCAGGGCTGCTCCTGCTCATGAATACCACCAGCAACATCTGGCTGTGCTACACTGCCTACGTCCTCTTCCGTGGCTCCTACCAGTTCCTGGTGCCCATTGCCATGTGCGTGGTTACCCCTGGGCACCCGCTCCCTCCCCAGCAGCAGGGCTGGTTGGTAGCAGGGGTTCCACCGGTGCCCCTCTCTTTCCCAGTTTCCAGATCGCTACCTCCCTCTCCAAAGAGCTCTGCGCGCTGGTCTTCGGGGTCAACACCTTCTTCGCCACCGTGCTGAAGACCATCATCACCATCATCGTGGCCGACAAGAGGGGCTTGGGCTTGTCTGTGCATCCCCAGGTAGGAACGGGGCGGGGAGGGGGGGGCGCACCTCGGGTGGAGGTCATCCCCTAACGGTGTGGGATGAAGCGGAGGCGGCCAGTGTTGTCCTCTCCCCCGCCTCTCTTGCAGTTTTACGTGTATTTCGGCTACTTCACGCTGCTGGCTGTGATCTACTTGCTGGGGGCCGTCGGCGTGGGCATCCGGCACAGCCGCCGCCAGCAGCCGGTGGAGCTGCCCTTGGCCAAGGAGCCGTGCCAGCTCCCCGCCGAGGGGCCCGCGCAGGACAAGAGCCCGGAGGCAGGTGCTGAGCAGGCCTGAGCGCCGGCACCGTGCCCGCCGTGCCCGCGGCTCGGCTCCAGACGTGAGCGGCAACCATCACTCCATCACATCACCGGGGGCATAACCGTGTTTTATGCCCCACGGCGGGTAGGGTTATGTGTGTCCCCCCCGGCCCCTGCCCCATCCCCGGCCACAAATGCAGCCAGAAAAAGGGCGGGATGCCCACGGCTGCCACCGCCGGGTACCACGCAGGGATACGGATGGGGTCCGGGGTGTCTCCTGGCCGCCAGCTCCCCATCACGGCGCGGAGCCAGGCTACAAGAGGACAACGTTTCTTTATTCAGTGCCTTTAGAAAATGGTTTATGGGACACAACCGACAACAACAACAACAACAAAAAAAAAAACAACAACAACAAAAAAAAAGATCCACAGGCTTTAAATTGCATTAATTACACAAAATACAGTAGACTGTAAGAAATAGAGACTGTGTGACTCGCACAGCTTTTATGGTAATAATTTCCATACAATAATAAAAAGCTAGTTACAGATTTATCTTTTTTTTTTTCTTTCTTTTTTGTTTTTTTAGCACCTTGGATTTGTCCACACCTATTCAAACCAGCTTTGCTGCGCCTTGGCCCTTAAGAGCGCAGCAAAGGTGGCATGGGGGGGGGGGGTGGGGGGGGTGGCAGTGCTTGCCCTCGGTACCACACGTACTCAACACGCACACAAACACACGCCAAGGGCACGCCTGGCCCCGTGTCAGGGCCACCCCATCACCCCAGTCCCCACGCTGGCCTGGGTGTGGGTGCACGGCTGGGGGGTCCTGAGGATGTGCAGGGGGGATGGGGGGTCCAAACCCTCCCCCCCCCCCCCCCCCAGGGCTCGCGAGCTGCTGGCTGGGCGGCGGAGGTGAGGATGATGATGGGGGACTGGGTGGGATGGTCCTTACCTGGGGAGGACGGAGACCATCTTGGGGGTGGGGAGCCCTGGCACCACCACGGGACGGTCCCTTGTTTGGGTGGGATGCTGAGGTTTTGGCTGGGGAAGACCCCATGACCCCAGCAGCAGGGATTTGGGTCCAACCCCAAGCTCCTGGCGAGGACAGAGACACACCCCACCCCCCCCACTCGCCCCTCTGCCCCCCCCGCAGGCTTTCCAGGAGGGCATACCACCCACACGTCAGTGCCAAAATCTCCCTGCCGAGCATCCTCCTGCCCTGTAAAGATCCTCCGAGCTGGTGGGGGGACGCAAGCTGAAGTGGTTAAATATTAGGAGTTAGAAGAGAATTGGGAGCGAGAGGAGGAGGAGGAGGAAGGCAGCCAGCTCAGGCTGCCCTGCCCCGAGTGGGATGTGAGCCCCTGCCGACCCAGGGCAGGGGCGATGGTGATACTCTTTGGCTTCAGGTCTGCAGGAGAAGAAAACCCTGCGGGGCGAGGGCAGGTGCGTAGGAAGGGGGGGGGTGCTGAGGACCACGGGGGTGCCGGGGTGCAGGCTGGCCTGTCCCTCCCCGGGGAGATGTGGGGTGCCCAGGGCTGGGAGGGTGTCACTTTTTGGCGGCAGTCATGAAGCTGTTCTCGATGCAGAGGACGACGAAGGCGTGCTGGCAGCTGCTAGCCACCTGCTCCAGCAGCTTGCCCGAGCCCAGCGAGGAAGCCTGGCCGGTGGCGGCGTGCTCCTCCGTCCGCCACGTCTCACAGTAGCTCTCAGGCAAGCGCCGGCCCTTGGCATCTGAGCCGTGCCAGACACTCTTCTGTGGCCTGGAAAGGAGAAAGGGGGGTGTGGGGGGGAGAGGACCCGCCACGGTCCAGACCCCAAATCCCCTCTTTCCCCATCCCTCGATCCCGCACTCACCACCCCGCATCCCGCAGGACATCCCGACCGTCGAAGGAGAGGATGCGGGCGCCGGCTCGCAGCGGGGCCCCGCTGCCCGTGAAAAGGGCTTCCCAGTTACTGAAGAGCACTTCGTCCTGGTGGGGAGTGGGAAAAAAAAAAAAACAAGAAAAAACAAAAAAAACAAAGGGGAGGGGTGGGGGGGAGCAGTCAGCCTTGCCTGCACCCCAAGAATATCACAGGAGCTCGGAGCAGCCCCCCCGGGGAGGGGATGCTTCACGGTCCATGCAGATGGGCAGGGGGATGCGCTGCAGCCCTCGGCGCTCGCGGGGTGTCGGGAAGGGGGGGAATGGAGACACACACGTACCCGGAGGTTGACGATGGGCACGGCGGCGCGGTCGGCCCTGCGCACGATGCTGTAGAGGTCCTGCAGGCGGGAGGAGAGGAAGGCACGGAAGGTGCCAGCCAGCCCGACCTGCCGGGCTTGCTGGAAGCACTGGAAATCGGCGCCCCGGATGCCGCGCATGCCACCGCTTAGCGGGGCGTTCAGGGCCACCAGGTGAAGCTGCCAAGGAGAGGACAACGGGGCTTGAGGGACATGGCTTTGGCCACCATCGTCACCTCCCCTCGGCCGGCACGTGGTACTCACGGCGGGCTGGAAGTCCTGGTGCACGTGGGCAGCCACGGGGGCCGGATCCGGCCGGCGGTGGATGTAGTAGCTGTTGAGGAGCTCGTGCTGGTGGTGGAGCAAGGGTTGCTCGGGCAGGCGGTGCTGGTTGGCCACCACCTCGTCCCCGCGCCAGGGTCGGGCGGTGGGCGGGGGGCTGTGGTTGCGGAGGGGGTGCAGGGGTCCGCGAGGCTGGAGCGGGGGCTGGGGGCCGGCGTAGTGGACGCTGGGTGGCTTGTCGTACACCTCGTTGTCCTGAGGAGAGAGGGGGAGAGAGGATGAGGGTTGGTGCTGCTCCAGGTGGGGATGGGGATGGAGATGGGATTGGAGATGGTTGGGGATGGTTGAAGATGGGGATGGAGATAGAGGTGGTTGGGGATGGATGGAGGTGGTTGGAGATGGTTGGGGGTGGATGGAGATGGGGATGGAGACGGTTGGGGATGGTTGGAGATAGGGATGGAGATGGGGATGGAGATGTTTGGGGATGTATGGAGGTGTTTGGGGATGGCTGGAGATGGTTGGGGATGGCTGGAGATAGGGCTGGAGATGGGGATGGATGGAGATGGTTGGAGGTGGCTGGAGATGGGGATGGTTGAAGATGGGGATGGAGATGGAGATGGTTGGGGATGGATGGAGGTGGTTGGAGATGGATGGAGATAGGGATGGAGATGGGGATGGAGATGGTTGGGGATGGATGGAGATAGGGATGGAGATGGGGATGGAGATGTTTGGGGATGTATGGAGGTGGTTGGGGATGGCTGGAGATGGTTGGGGATGGCTGGAGATAGGGCTGGAGATGGGGATGGATGGAGATGGTTGGAGGTGGCTGGAGATGGGGATGGAGATGGTTGGGGATGGTTGAAGATGGGGATGGAGATGGAGATGGTTGGGGATGGATGGAGGTGGGGATGGAGATGTTTGGGGATGTATGGAGGTGGTTGGGGATCGTTGGAGATGGATGGGAATGGCTGGAGATAGGGCTGGAGATGGGGATGGATGGAGATGGTTGGAGGTGGTTGGAGATGGGGATGGAGATGGTTGGGGATGGATGGAGGTGGTTGGAGATGGTTGGGGGTGGATGGAGATGGGGATGGAGATGTTTGGGGATGTATGGAGGTGGTTGGGGATCGTTGGAGATGGTTGGGAATGGATGGAGATAGGGATGGAGATGGGGATGGATGGAGATGGTTGGAGGTGGTTGGAGATGGGGATGGAGATGGTTGGGGATGGATGGAGGTGGTTGGAGATGGTTGGGGTGGATGGAGATGGTTGGGGATGGATGGAGATGGGGGATGGAGATGGTTGGGATGGGGATGGTTGGGGGTGGGGTGAGGGTGTATGAGAATGGGCACGGGGGGCAGGGGACTCACCAGAGCTGAACTGGGGATCAGGTTGTGCTCCTCCAGCTGCAACGGCATGGCACATCAGATCCCAGCTGTCCCCCTCTCCTCTTCCTCACGCACGAGTGAGGGGACCCCCGAGCATCGCCAAAAGACATCACCGAAACCCCGGGGCGACGCAGTCTGCACTCCCCTTAGAGCCAGGTGGTGCGACCCAAGACAGGGAGCCCCTCCAGCCCCCTCCCACTCACCAGCACCCGTCGGAAGCCCCCGCGCAGGCGGACGTAGAGCTCTTGCCGGTCGGTGAGGAAGATGAGGCCGCCCTCGGGCAGCTCGTGCACAGCGCTCAGCATCGCCTGGTAGGTCGGCAGGGCACGCAGCTGCGGGCACAGCCCGGTGGGTGGCTCAGGGCTTGGCCGACCAGCCAGCGGGCAACCCCTTGCCCAGAGCCCTGACTCACCCCCAAGGACATCCCGCTGGTGCCTGGTGGTCCGGGGGGTCCCGGTGGTCCAGGGGGTCCAGGAATGCTGATAGCTGGGGGCGGGGAAGAAGGGTGAGACGGGGAGGGCTGCAGCATGAGGCGGGATGCAGGGAGGGATGCAATGGCGGCAGGTACTCACCTTGTCTGTGGGGACCTGGGAAGGAGGGGGGACCAGGGGGGCCGGGGGGGCCAGGGGGGCCCTGCCGCCCCTCGTATCCGATACCAGGGGGGCCCTGAGGTCCAGGAGGCCCTGGAGGCCCAACGATACTGTCCCCCTTGGGACCCTAGGCAGTGCGAGAGAGCGTTCGTGGAGCAAAGCATCTGGGGATGCGCCCCCCCCACCTCTACGCCGTGGGGTACTCACCGGCAGCCCAGGGTAGCCCTGGGGTCCCGGAGGCCCTGGCAGCCCAGAGGCGCTGGGACCGTAGAGTGGGGTGCTGCCCGGCTCACCCTTGTCACCCTTGGGACCTGCATCCCCCTTGTCACCCTGCGGGATGGCACAGATTTAGCGTGAGCGGCTGGGCTGGGGTGCACCCCGGTACCCCAAACAGTGCTGGGTGCCAGCCCTGGCGAGCCATTGCTGGTGGGCAAAGGGCTTACCCGCAGGTTGGCACCGAAGTGACTCGGGTCGTAGGGGAAGTGGCCTGTGGAGAGGGAGAGGAGGGGAGAGGAGAGCCAGGATGGGCACAAGCCACCCCCTGCCCACCTCTGCCTGCGGGGACCAGTCACCCACCTGGGGGTCCCGGGGCTCCAGCATCGCCTTTTTCTCCCTTTTGTCCTGGAAACTGGTGGAAACCTGTGGGAAACAGCAGAGAGGAGCCATCTCAGAGCTGCAGCATCCCAGTCCCAGCTCTAACAGAGGAGGTCTCCCCCCCCCGCCTCCCTCCCTTCTTGCTGGCTGTCCCTGAACTGCTCTGAGGGGGCTGGGGGAGGGACACCCCCTTACCGGGGAAGGCTGGCAGCGCGGGATGGCTGGAGTCGCTGAAGGCCTGTGGGGATGCAAAGGAAGGGGCTGCAGAGACAGCAGCATCCTCGGGGACCCCCCCCTTGATGTGATGCTGATGATGTCCCCGCGTGCCAGCCCTGGCCAGGGTGCCACCAGAGCATCCTTCATCCCCTCTAGCCAGCCAGGGGACACTGGGGGGGACCCGGTCACCAGCCCTCAGCATCCCCATCACGGTAACTGTGTTGTTACTCACATTGCTGCTGTCGTAGACTATGCTGCCAGGTGGCCCAGGGGGCCCTGGGGGCCCTGGGGGTCCTGGGGGACCCTGAAGCGGGGAGAGAAGATGTGTCAGGGTCCTGCAAAGTGGCCAGTTCCCATAGAGGACACACCAGGGCCATGCCGTGCCCCAGAGGGGCAACCAGTCCCCGAGAGAGGGAGGCACCTTTCCCTTTTCCAAAGGGATTGGGGTCTCCAGGGAGGCCCTCAGGGTGTGTCCCCTGCTCCCCTGGGCCAGCAGCAGGGGAGGGGGACACCGCAGCAGTGCTCACCCGCAAGCCCAGCACACTGCTGACATCCACGGGGTCACCCTTCTCGCCCTTCAGCCCGTTCATGCCGGGACGTCCCTGTGGATGAGCAGCACAGATGAGGCTCGTCCCCATCCCCCTGCCAACCCCGGGGTGAGCACCCCGGTGTCACCTCTGATGCCTTGGAGTCACCTCCGACACCCCGGCATTGCCTCCAACACATCGGCATCACCCCGCCCCTTGGGGACACAATAGGGCATTTGGGGTTCAGCGGGTGCAAGATGTGCAAATGGGGTGGGGGGACGCAGTGGAGGAGGCGACGGCCGAGGGGACAAACAAACCGGGAGCAGGTCTTACGGGTCTGCCCGGAAAGCCGATCTCGCCCTTCATCCCTGCTCGTCCCTGGGGACCCTAGAGGGGAGAGAAGAGGAGGATGATTGTGCTCAGAGCGGGGCGGGGGGCAGACCCCATCCCCCTCTGCCCTGGACCAGCCCTCCCCATGGGATATGAGGACGGTGATTGTGACTTACCGAGGGTCCCACTGGTCCCCGCAGCCCCGGTTCCCCCTGTGGACAGCAGAGAGGGAAAGGGCATCACCACCGGGACCACCCGGCACCCGGCGCACGGGGACGTGCCTCCCATCCCTGCAGCGCACCCACCTTTTCTCCTTTCACCTTCGCAGTCACCACGGTCCCGTCGGGGCTGATGATGACACCAGGCTCCCCCTTCTCCCCCTGCAAGAGAGGAGGAGGCGCAAAGGGACATGGAGGGACCAGGCTCCCTCCCAGGGTTGGGCTGGCGTCACCACCGGGACCCGGTGGCCAGGCAGGATGGGGGACCAGGAGCGTGACCACCCCGTGGGGCGGAGGTGGCCCAGAGCAGTTACCTTCAACCCTGGGGAGCCCTGGGGACCAGATGACCCCCGGTCTCCTTTTGGTCCCACGGGGCCCTGCAGGGAGGAGCACAGAGCCCGCGTCAGCCCCCACCCACCAGAGGCAGACCCCCAAACCTCCCCGCCGGCACCACCACCCCGGCACCGCCGTGGCAAAGCGTGGCAGGACCGGCAACCAGAGGTTTCACCAAAGGGTGCCCAGACCTTTCACCGGGGCCACCCCTGCGGTCCCCAGCCCTGCCACTGACTCACCGGGAAGCCGGCGTGACCCGGTCTGCCCTGCAGAGAGAAGCAGAGATGGTTGTAAGAGCAAAACCCCCTCTTTCCGAAAAAAAAATGGGTGCCCTCCCGGCACTGCTGAGGGGTGGGTGCTGCTAGCGGGGGGGGCACTTACTTCTGGACCAGGCAAAGCCACCAAAGACTTCTGAAAAAAGAGACAAGTGAGGTTTATCACCCTGATATTTGCTCTGAAGAGGTCAGAGCTCCTGGAGAGGTCTCCCTCAGTCCCCCACATGATGGGTGCTGGGCAGGTCCTTCCTCTTACCTTGCACACACACCCCCCCCCCCCCCCAGTTTTAGCTTCCCCCAGCTGCAGTGAAGCCAGGTGCCATCACTTACATCTTCACTTGAGACAGTGATGACCTGTCCAGGGGGACCAGGTGGACCAGGCGGGCCGGGCTGTCCCACACCATCTTGGCCTCGCTCACCCTGGAAGACACAAGCCATCAACTCCAGGGCCACGGCCACCCGGTCCCTGTCCCCAGCCTGGTGGCACTTACCTTCTCACCGGGACTGCCTCTGTCACCTTTGGGTCCCTGGAAGGAGGAGCAGGCAGGGGTGAGCTTCCCGCTTGGCACCACACTCAACCGGACCCCGGCTCAGAAGCGGAGGTCTGCCCGCAAGGTCCAGGCAGCGAGCCAGGTTGGGATACTTTTGGGTGGAGGTGGTGGCGAGCAGGGTGGCAAGCTGATGGGGACGGGGTCCCAAGCAGCGTGGGCCCCCCTGGCAGGCAGTGAGCCCAGTCTAAGAGCAGGGAAACAGCTGAAGGCACTGGGGGCGGGGGTGCGTGGGAATTTTGGTTGCTGCGGATGGAGCTGCTGGATCAAGGATTCCCTGTCTAAAGTGAGGGGGATGCTGGAAAAGAGGGGCTGATGCTCTTACCTGTGGTCCAGGGAAGCCCTCCAGGCCAGGGCGGCCGTCCACACCGGGCACGCCAGCATCTCCCTGCAGAGAGGTGCAGGAAAGGGCAAGATGCAGTATGGAGCATCCTCCTGACAACCCCGGCTGGGGTCCTGCCCAGTGCCCTGCAAACCCAGGTGCTCACACACAGCCCATCCCAACCTCCCAGAGCTCCTACCTTCAGTCCCGGCAAGCCAGGCTGCCCGGGGCTGCCGACCTCTCCCTGCAAGGAAAGAGGTGTCAGAGCAGGAGCATCCCCACAGGCTGCCCGTGGGCATCCTGCGAGGGTGGAGCCAGGCTCCAGCAAAGGGCGAGGAAGGTGGTCGAAGGGCTCCTTACCTTCACCCCCGGCAGTCCTGGCACCCCCTGCAAGCAACACGAAGTGGGCTGTGAGCATTGGGTGAGGGCAGGGGGACACGATGGCAGGGGATGCCCCAGGGAGCACAGGATGGAGGGGAGGGAAGTGGCAGGAGCAGAGTCACCTGTGGTCCTTCAGGTCCGGGTGGTCCAGGGGAGCCAGTGGCGATCGGCAGCCCCGAGCCCTCCATGTCACCCTAGGTGGAGATTGGGGAGAAGGGGCTGAGCCACATCTGCCGCCCACCCCAGTTCATCCCACTCCCCCATCACAGGGGTGATCACTTACAAATCCAGCCTCGTAGCCTGGCCCCGGTGGTCCCGGGGGGCCGGGGGGCCCTGGCTGCCCTCGGGGCCCGATGGGCCCGGGAAGACCAGCTAAGCCCATTTCTCCCGGGGTTCCTGCTGGTCCCATTTCCCCCTTGCTGCCCTGCAAAGGAGACAAAACAAAGGGACAGATGAGATAAGGTGACATGGGTCCCTTCCTGGAGCCTTCGCATGAGAGGCAGCGCATCCCCTCCTGCATCCCCGAACCTCCCCTTGGGACGGGGCACGGATGCTCTGGGACAGAGGGGCTTTGCGGGCAGGGGCATTGCCCAGCTCGGGCATCCTTCATCGCAGCTGTCCTTGGACGGCCTCGGCTCCCCATGCAATGTGCACGGTGGCCACCAGAGGCTCGTCTAAAATCATAAATGTGATTTTTTTTTTTTTTTTTTTTGGCACGCGTTGCCGGCTCCAATGCTGCAGCAGAGCTCAGCGCCAGGCGGGGATGCTCGCAGGCACCCTTGAGCATGGTTACAGCTCTCCCGAGCGGCACGATCCGTCCTCATGCCCGCTGCCGCCCCACCTGCCCTCTTGCTGATGGCAGCATTAAGAAACTTTCATTTTTGAGGCTCTTGCCCCCAGCTCAGGCTGCAGTGGATGTGTCATCCCGAGGGGCACCCTGGCCCCCGAGGGAGGGAAGGGCAAGCGTGAGCATCCCAGCAAGCCTTTATCTCCACCCTTAGGGGTGCAGGGCGGAGAGAAGCTCCAGCAGGCAGACAGGAGAGTGATGGGGTATTTTCCAGCGGGGTGTGGACACGCAAAAATCCCCCAAGCAAACCCTCTTCTGTGCCTCAAAACACCCTGCTCAGCTTTCCTGCCCGTTTCCCAAGGTGGCAACACCCGGAGCAAAGCCAGGCGAGGGTGGCAGGAGCCCGGTGAGCATCCTGGGGATGTTTAGTGGCTCCAAGCGACCTCGAGCTGAGGCACCACTCTGTTCTGAGAGGAATCCAAATATCAGTACCCCCCCCGCCCCTTCCCGGTGCAAAGTGGCCCCCCCAGGCAGCATTCCTGCCTCCAGTCTCCAATGCATGTGGGACACCCCAAGAAACCCATCCCAGGCACAGTACCTTGGGTCCCGGTGCACCAGGGAGGCCAAGGTCGCCCATGTCGCCCTGGGGAGGAGGAGGAGGAAGAAGAAGGTCTGAAGAAGCTGCCCAGCTCCAGGCAGGAGCAGGTTGGTGCTCTGCAGCCCGTGGAGGGATCTGGGACCTCCCGGAGATGTGCCAGGGGTGGCGGCTGCCCTGTGGCCTTGCCCTGATGTGCCCCCAGGGGACATGGGACAGGGGACACTCACCTGCTCTCCTTTGGGCCCTGGATGCCCAGCTGCGCCATCTCTTCCAGGAGGACCTTGAGGACCCTGCAAGATGCCCAGAAGTTCGCACCAGCCCAAGGAAACCCCGTGAGGCTGGTGGGAACCGAGCCCCCCCACCACCACCACCACAGGGAGCAGTTAGAACCCCACCGCTACAGGGTGGCCCTGGCATGGGTCCACTTGGCCACCCCCTACACTCACCGCTGGCCCCGGGGGTCCGGGGATCCCGGCCTTGCCCGGCAGCCCTGGCGGTCCCGGCACGTCCGTGCGGTTCATCCCAAACCGTCCCGGCTCCCCCGGCAAACCGGGCACCCCGGGTGGCCCTGGGGGACCGGGCGGCCCTCGTGGACCCTAGAAGAGAAGGAGGGGACGATGGCTGTGGGGGTCTGCCCCCTCTCCCTGCCGGCAGGACGGGCGCCCACCCATGCTCACCCGCAGGCTCTCCAGGTCGCCGCCGAAGCCAGAGCCCTCCATGTCGATGAAGGTCTGGGGGAGAAGCAGGAGGGGGGATGTCAGGCAGCGACGGCAAGGGTCAGGGCACCCAGCGGCACACGGATGCTGCCTGGGGGCTGGTGGCAGCGTCCAGCACCTCGGTGGCTTGATGGATCCGCCCCCTCCTCCACCCCTCCAGCCAAAACCCTGTGTCCCAAGGGGCACCCACCAGCTTGTCATGTTTGGAGGAGGGTCCTGGAGGTCCTGGGGGGCCAGGCGGTCCGGGGGGTCCCCTCGGCCCCACGCCTGGGTCACCCTGGCACAGAGGAGAGAGCGCGGTTTGCAAGAGCAGCCAAGTGAGAAGAAGGTGGGGGGGTGGGGGGTGGGGGGTGGGCAGCGGTGTGTGCTGTCCCCCCCATACTGGCACCAGCACTCACCTTCTCCCCCTTCAGCCCAGGTTCCCCCGGTGTCCCAGGGAACCCCTGGGGCCCCATATTGCCCTGCGAAGGGGAGCGGTGGGGGGTCAGAGGGTGGCAAGGCACAGGGGTGGTCTCGCCCCGCCACCCCCCCGCCCCACACACACACACTTACGGGTTTGCCGTCCTCGCCAGGATCGCCCTAGGGATGGCAGAGAGGGGAGAGGTCAGTGCAAGCAGGCAGGGCTGGGGGGAGAGGGGGGGTCCCCGAGGGGTGGGGGGCTCGACTCACGGGCTCGCCGTCCCTGCCGGGGGCTCCGTCCTTCCCCGGCGGCCCCGGGGGACCGGTGACCTGCTCCACCACCGAGCCATCTGCGTGCCGTGAGAGGCTCCCGGGGGTGCCGGGTTCACCTGGTTCCCCTTTCTGGCCCTTGGAGCCGGGGTAGCCAAATCCAGCGCTGCCCTGGGGAGGGGAGGGAACCGGGATGGGTGGCACGTCCCCAGGGATGACAGCCCAGGCAGGCCTGGCTTTTCCCCAGCTCCCCCAGTGATGCTCACCTTAACGCCCAGTTCTCCTTTCTGCCCCTGGGGGACAGAAACAAAGGAGCAAGGATGTAAAATGTAGACACATCGCTGGCACGCTTGAGCCTTCAGGGTCCACCCTCTCACCCACCTTTTCGCCCTTGACACTGCCCGTCCCCACGATGCTGCCGGCCCCAGCGTCCCCTTTCAGGCCACGTTCGCCCTTCTCCCCCTTTTCACCTTTGGGTCCAGTGCCTGCGGAAAGGGAAAAGGGACCCGGTCATGCTTGGGGATGTCCACCCCACCATGTTCCCGCTGGTGGCAGGGAAGGGGGAAGCTGCTGGCACTACCTCCCGTGGAGATCTGCTGTGTCTCCTCCACTCTGGTCCTCTCGGCTTGCTGCGGGGACCCCCCGCCGCTCCTCTGCCCGCTGCCCGCTGCCACGGGGGGAGAGGTGACAGGGACGGCATCCACTAGCCCCGGGACACCCTGTGCCAACAAGAAGGGGACACTACGGAGCCATTCACCTCCTGGTGCCCTCCCAAAAGAGACAGGAGCCGGGACCCCATCAGGCATCCCAGGACCTCAACCACGGAGGGCGCTCAGCCCCCCTCATCCTCAAAATCTTGATGTCCCGCCGCTGTATGCAAGACCTGCGGGCACCAACTCACCTTGACTTTCCCAGAGGGTTGGTATCCACCTTCTGCCCCACTGCCAAAATCGCCAGAGACCTGCGTTTGCCCAGGGAGAAGGGGCAAGGGGTGAGCTGGGAGCACGGGGTGGCAGCCCCCCGGCCTGCCCCAGCCGGGCTGCCGGCGCTCACCTCCTCAGTGTCATCCTCATCTTCCTCGCACTGGCGCTCGGCCGCCCGCGGGTCCCCTTGCAGCTTCAAATCAGCGATCACCCCCTGGAAGGAAACCATGCACGCACGGCTGCCACGGACCGACGCGTGCCACGAGCCACCCCACGGCACAACGTGACCTGCCGTGCCACCCAGCAGCCACCACGGGCTCCAGTGCCCCCCGTACATCAGGCTTTTTCGCCGGCTGCAGAGAGCGCTCTCCGCTCAAGCATCCATCCATCACCCAGCACAGAGAGGTTTCAACCTTGCAGCCCCCCGTGCCCAGCACTGCCAGCGTGGCTTGACAAGCCATGGGAAAAAGCCACGTGCCAGGCAGGCTGAGTGAAGGCAGCGGCCAGGAGACGGCCAGCCAGCCAGCAAAATGCTTTTACAGGGACTTTTTCGGCCATGCTCCTCATATTTCCCCTCTCCGGAGGGCTCCCCAGCTTCAGACAGCATCTCTGCCCCAAGCAAGGGCCACTGGGACATCCCAGTCCACTGCAGCCCTGGCTTTGTAGTTCTTAGGCTAATCCATACGTCGTTACCATTTATTCGGGTTTTGCGAGCACTGTGTGCCCCCAAGCCGCTCGTTTATACAAGAAACCACCACAAATTCCTTCCCGCCCTCCAGACAACCCCCGTAGCTGAGCTACCTGTGCTGCCTCAGGAGGGCAGCATCCCCATCTCGGCTGGGAGGTTGTGTGGGTACCAGCCTGAACCCCACAGCTCCCACAGCCAGCGGGGTCACCCAGCACATCTCGAAGCCCAGCCCAGTTCCTCGCTACTGGGATGGGACACGGGGATGCTGTCGGGACGGGACGCTGCCGGGATGGGATGCTGCCCATCCCTCTGATCCCGGCGGGGAAGTGCCGGGGACCATGCTGGGAAGTGAGCTCAGAGAGGACAAATACCTCCCGCTCGGTGTCTCTTCTCTGGGCAGGACACCTAAAATAATATTTGGGCTTGCTTGAAAGCACAGCACACCATGTCCGGGAAAGAGAGATGCGCTCAGGAAACATGATGGGTTTAAGAAAGCAAGAATCAGGGGCAGCTGCACTTCAGCCAGGCTGGCTATAAACATTATATTGTGCATAAATTATAAATAGACTATATTATAGATACAGTATAAATATAAACATATTTTTTAATATATAAAATTTAAAAGTATATAAATCCCTCCCACAAGCAAATGCCCCCCAGGTGGGTTGTGACCTCCTCCAGCTGCTCGCCCTGGTGTCAGCCAGCTCCAACCCATCCCTCTCCCCCCCACTGAGCACCAGCAGCAAGCCGAGGCTTTGATAAATGCAACACTCCAGCCTGGCCTCCCTGGCTCTGGGGGGCTGGCCAGAGGCATCAGAAATAATCCGGTTCCAGCCCTGGACTGAGGCATTTGCATGTGGGAGGGTTGTAAGGGCCCTTTGCAGCTTGTTTGCCCCAGTAAAGGAGGCAGAAGCACCGTGGTTCTAACCATGCATCCAGCTGCAAACAAACCCTCCAGCCAGACCCCAGCTGACACCCCATTTGCAGTAACTCCCTTGGTATCTGCTGTCCCAGGGGCTTCTGCGTTACCTGCAGGCTTTGCCCCTCCAAGTTTTGTGCCCTCGACACAAGGACAACTGGGGAAGAAGCACGGATGCCACCAGCAGCCCTCCAGCTGCCCGCGAGCAGCTCCTCTCGCGGCTTGACCGAGGGCCAGGTTTTAATCAGCTTGATGCCCAGTTAGTTCCAGATACCACGAGTCAGGGCCGGTCAGCGATGGAAATACCACGAGGCAGTCAGATGCCACGGAGACGGCCAAGCCCGCGCCCCCCGCTCCCCTCTCGGCGGGCCGAGGCGGTCAGCCCCCTTCCCTCGAGCTTCAGCTATTCCCTGCGGGAAAGCCGGGGGCGGACGGTGGGATCGGGCGCTGGGGAAACTGGGGAACATCACCTGCTCAGAAAAGCAGGAGCGCTTCGCTCAGCGCTGGGCTGTTGCTTTGCCTTCCAAATGGTGCCAAACCCTCTCCAGCTGGGGAGAGGAGCTCTGCCACGGCCATGACCCGGCCCTCCCAGCACATTCAAGAGCGAAAAATTGCTCTTCGAGAACAAAAAGTTGCTCTTGAGACCTCACAGGACCAACCCGAATCCCAGTGCAAACTGGTTTCTAGCCCATCAATCATTAACCCCTTCTTGGGGGAGCTTTCCCTGCCCGAAGCCATTTAACTGGGACCACGCCAGCACTGCTCGTTAGTCAAGATGATGTTGAAGTTCAGAAACGTGCTTTGCAAAGCTCCCCGGGAAAAGCATCGCTCCGCTTGGCAGAGCCTCTGTTGCTGGGCAAGCCATGCTCAACCCAGGAGAAACCCAGCGGTCCAACCCCTCCTCAAGCACGGCGGGGGATTTCCATGTCAGCTGGGCATTTTCCCCACGCTTCCCATAAACCTTATCTAGAACATAAGTCATGCTCAAATCACAGGCTGTGCTATCACCTCCTCTCCTTGGTTTCCAGAGTCTTCCTACAGATACCGCCCCACGTCAGCTAACAAAGATATGCTCCAGCCTAAGCATTTTTCCAGCTAAGAGAGACATTTTATCAGCCAAACCAGGTCCTCCACCAAAGGAGTTGGGTATTTTTAGCAATAGGGAGATTCAAAGAGGCTCCATGTGTTTGCTGGAAAGGATATGGGGTAATAGTGGCTGCTGTAGCACAAGCCCATCTCCTCCTGCCAGCCCACCTTGCGAGCTTTGCTTTGGTGAGACCCAAGACAATAAAGCTGATGGCATCTCAAGCCACCTTGCCCCGCCCCCCCCCCCCATCTCAAGTGTCTCCTTCCCCAGGGACACACGTGGAGCACGGCTGCTGGTTTGACTTCTGGGCAAAGAGGTTGGTTCAACAGGCACAGGCTGATGTCATGTCCCTCTCGCCTCACCCAGGCTTCTTGGAGATGCTCCTTGGGGTGACCTGAGGCCTTACCTGGTATTTATCTGGGTCGGCTCCTCCAGCCTGAGCAACGAAGAGCCCAGAGCCATCTTCCAGCTCCATCTCATCCGGGGAGCGCTCGAAGCGGACCCGCTCATGCTCCTCACAGTCCAGGTAGAGGATGACTTCATCCTCCTCCACGCTGATGGCAAAGCGTGTCCACTGGTTGAGCAAGGTGGGCACGGTGAAGGTGGCTGCCGCGTACGAGCTCGGCGAGCCTGGCTCCGTGTAGTAGAAGATGATTTGCTGCTTGCCCGCCCGCAGCTCCGAGAGCTTGACGCCCACGTAGATGATGCTCTGTGAGGAGTCCGTGATGGCAAAGAGCACGCCGGCCCGGGGAGTGGTGGGCTGGATGTGGAACAGGAGGGAAAAGTCCCGGTAAAAAGGGCTTGGCAGGTGGTACCGGGCCACCTGGCCCGTGTTGGCGTTGGGGCCGAAGACATAGCCGGGGTTGTTGTCGGGGCCGTAAATTTTGAGGATCTCCTCTGGCGGGGGGTCTCCGATCAGCTCCAGGAGGCTGACCTCGGAGCTCAGGCTCTCTGCAAGAGGAAGGGAAAGGGGACAGTCACAACCGGCCTGGCGAGGATGGTCATTCTCAGCAAGGCACCGTGGGGGGACACCTCTGGTCACATCTCCCCCAAACGCTGCTCTTCAGCAGCTCCCTCCCTCGGCTTGCCCTTCCCCAGGGCCTGGGATTTTCCTTCAGGTTGCGGGTTGGCCAAGGCAGCAACGCGCCTTGAGCTGTTCCCACCACGCCGTTCGGATGCAACTCCCAAAACGCCACCCATTCCCTGCTGCCGGCCCTCCAGCCGCAGCTGGGACATCCCTGAGAGGGGTTAAAAGCAAAAGAGATCTTGCCCGGGGTAGCGACATGCCCGTGCAGGCAGCGGGGATGCTGTCGGAGCACCGGGATGGTGAGCAACCACGGAGACGCGAGGAAGCGCGTTGCATCCGTACCCGTGCCGGGGTCATGGTGACCCCCTACGTCATCCCGGGACAAGCTCACGGGGTCACCCCAGCCGGGAATAAATCAGAGCCATCCCCCCTCGCAACACCCTGGGAACGGGGCTCGAGCCGGCGCGGCCCCTGAGCTTCCCAGATGATCTCAATTTGGAGCTCTCCTCCTTTCCCGACTCCTTTTTCTCAAGGCGCTCGGGGAAGTTCTGCTCGGGACGGTCTCTCCTACCCGACGCAGCTGAACATCTGGCCGGGGCGAGCCGGCCCTCTGTACGCCAGCTCCCGTTGTTTTGGCAGCAGGCACATCCTCATCGCCCACACACCGGGCGCTGGATTCCTCCTCTCCTATGTCAACCGCTCGGGCGGGTGCCAACTCGATGGGAGCGAGCGCGTCGGGTGCTTTTTAACTCCGTGTTTCCCGGGAGCGAGGAAACCCAACCACCCTGCCTCCAAAACAGCGGAGGGCTCTGCACCGGGAACGGGTGCTCGGTGCTGATTTCAGCCCCATTCCGAGTCAGGAGCAGGAGCTGAGACAATTCAATGTCCCCAGTGCCATCCCTGGTATTTCACGTGAGTAATGGGGGGGCGTTATGAGAGGTGTCTTGAGCCCAGGAGCACCAGCCAGGAACCTCCACCCTGCTCTGGAGCCAAGCATTGTCCTCCAAAGCTCTTAAGAAAAAAAAAAAAATAAAAAGAAGAAGAAAAAAAAAAAAACAAACAAACAAAAACAGAAAGAAGAAATCAGCCCAGCCTTGCCCAGCCTGGAAGGAAAACACGTCTCTTGGGATGGTGGGAGGAGATGAAAACCTGGGTGCCTCTTCCAAAGCCTGGAGGTACCTGAGCGTGTAGAGCATCCCCAGCTCCCCAGCTGCCAAGCTCTGATGCCAGCGCCAGCCCCATGACAGGGACCCCGGCAGTGGGGATGTTAGAAGTGCCACCGAATAGAGGTGGAGGCAAGTTTTCTCTCTGCCAGAACCCCAGACCCACTGATCCTCTCCTGAGCCTGCTGCACTGAAACCGCTCCGTGCCCACCCTGCTTCCCCAAGACCCCAGTCCCTCCCAAGCGTGGCACCCCAAAACTGAGCACCCAGCCAGGAGGAAAGCTCCCTCCTGGTCTCATGCCCGTCCTGACCCCCTCACCCACCCTGCACGGGGACCAGGCTATCCTGTGGGGCATCTCCAGCCCACTCGGAGGGGAAGGGCTCAGTGCAGCCCCTCTGCCTCACCGTCTGCGGGGATTTCTGGATCCTGGAGCCCAGCATCCTTTCGAGCCTAGCATCCTTTTGCACCCAGATGTGTGCAGCCCTACACCAAAAATGATGGGGTGAGTGAGCGGGGCTCCCCTGGACTCACAGCGAGCCCCAGCTTGGCACCCACCCTTGGGACACCCCACAAGCTCACTCCCATTGCCCCCTCCCCAGTCAGGATGCAGGGATGGAGCTTATCTCGGGCTGGAGGAAGCCAAATTCACAACAGCTTTAAGGGAAGAGGAAACCAGAGCTTCCTCCCAGGGGTCCGCACGAGTGTAAGAGCCAGCGATGCAATTTCTGCAACCAGACAAGCCATCATCTGCCCCCGGGGCTCGGGATGACGGGGGGGGGGGGGGGGGGGGGGGGGGGGGGGGGGGGGGGACGGGCTGAAAGAGGCTATTGTTAGCGACGCAATTTTCAACCACGCTCCCCTTGGCGTTTCAGCGGGCTCTGAGATCTCCTCTCCTCTCCAAACATGCCACTCGCCCCCGAGCCCGGGGTGGGAGCTGGGTGCCAGTGCTTCCCCGAGCAAACAGGGACACATCTTTCCCTTGCACAGCATGCAAAGCAGGCAGAGGCCAGGGCTGCGAGGCTGGATGGGGTGTGGGGAGCAAGCCCCTTCAAATAGCTGCTCCCCTGCAAAATCCAAGTGCCCCTTCTCAACCCCAAACCTTTCAGGCCAATGCCTGCTTTTTCCAGAGGGCACCCAGAGCCCACACATCGCACCCTTCCCCCCTGCAGCAAACCAGCAGCACCCACTCTGGAGCAGGGAGAGCCGGAGGCGGCTGACACCGCAGCGGTTTTGGCTGGCACAGGGTGGCTGCGGGGAGGCCTCTGGCCATTGGAAAAGGCCCCAGGGGATGTTCCAAGCCACCTTCCCGATGGGCCACCACCTTCCCGGCTGTCCCCAGCCAGGGCTGCCAGCGTGGCCCCGCGCATCCCATCCCAGCCGGGATGCAGGGGACCACCAGCACATCCCAGCTTACTCCATGGGGTGCACAGGAGTCCCCCCACCCCCCTCCCATTCCTGACGCTGCCCATCCTGCCGCCGAGCATCCCCCCCCCCCCCCCCGGGGTCGGCCGGCGAACAGAGCTGCTTTGATGCCATGTGTGCGACCCTTGTCGGCTGGCCCCCTGCTAAATCGCCCCTCTGACGGCAGCGGGTGTCTCGCTGCTCCTGGTCGGCAGCCCCAGGCCATCACCCCAGGGCACGGCGGGGCTGGCGCGGGAACACAGCCTCATTCAGAGGGCTCAGCGGGGGGGGGGGAGCGGCGAGCTCCCGCTCCTGCTTTCATCCCAAACTGCGTTCTTGCTCTTATACCCCAATGTGCATTTTTCCGAGCGACAGTCCCGCTCCCCCTACTCCCTTCCTTTCACTCCCTCACCCGCCAAAAAGGCACGTCTCGGTCCCCAGCTGACATACAGAAGGGTCACAACCACCAAATGGCAAAGTTGGAGGAGAATTAACCTCTCCCAGATGCCAAACATGGGGGGGGGGGGATCAAACATTAGCTGTCGGGTAAATCATTAACCCCAAGGCAAAGGGCCGCTGTGGGAGGGGGGGAAGCGTGCGGGCACGGCCGCGGGTCACCTTGAAGCCTCCTCACCACCGTGGCTCCAGAGTCCTGGTCCTTCCCCTGTCCCCCTGGGGAGCTGCCAGCTCCGCTCCCGGCACGGACACCCCAAAGCTCTTTGCTGTGCACCGCGGCACCTGCCAACCAGCACAATGAGAGCTCGGGGAGCATCTCTTGTCCTGGCCAGCGGGACGTCTTCTTTTAACCTGGCCACTGTGTGAAACAGCCCGAGGAGGGGATGGTGACGCTCAGCCTTGCGGAGGGAACCAAACCCCGCTGGCGGGCCCTGTTTGAAGAAGCCGAGGCTGGATGGAAAGCAATTTTGGGACTCAGCAGCATCCCACGGGCACAAGGCAGAAGCACCCCTCAGCGCCTAAAAACCTGGTGGAGTTTAGGGAGGGGAGACACACACAAACACACGGACGTCACCCAGCCACATTACCTGCAGAAGCATTAATAAAGACACAAGAATACCCTTCGTCCTCCTTGGGGAGAGCATCACAAGGCAGAGGCAGGCGCCCGCCGGCCAAGTGCATCCAACACAGGTCTCTGACGGCCTCGCAGAAGCCTTGGCATGGCGGGGGGGTTACAGGGACTGAGGGGCTACACCCGGGGAGCAGGAGCAAGCAGAGAAACCACTCCAGGTAGCGATGGCACCGCGATTCAAGCAGCCCCTCCCACTCATGCAAAGCCGCCCGAATTTCCCCCTCACTGCTGTGGCGGAGGTAATTCGGTAATCTGAAACGGTCGGTGCCCAGCACGCTGCAGGAAGGCAGGCGGGTTGGGACAGGCAGGCAACGGCCAGCTGGCAGCATCAGTCCAGGTAAGAAGGACGCGAGCCCCGTGCCGCTACTACCGTAGAGTTGCATAGCAGCGGTTAGTAAATCGAACTCGAGAGGACCGGAGTTATCGGCGAGAGGAGAATCCACGCCGTTAGCCGCCCTCCTGGGAAGCAAAGGAGGGCTCTGGCTCCCGTTCGTGCCGGCCAGCTCCAGCCGCCGGCGGCCGGTGCCGTGCCGTGGGTTCAGTGGGGCGGGCGATGCTCCGGGGCGGTGTCGGGACGGTTGTGCCGTGGGGTCCCGGGGAGGCACCGCCTGCTCGTGGGTGCTGTCACCTGGTGAGAAAAGAAAAGGGGCAGTACCTGGCCGGGGACCTGCCGGTCTCTGCAAGGACACCCATGTCCCCGTCGTGGCGGGGGTCCCCGTCCCCAGGAGCTGCGGGTCCTCGGTGGTCCCTGTCCCCCAGAGCTGCAGGTCCTCGGTGGTCCCTGTCCCCCGGAGCTGCAGGTCCTCGGTGGTCCCTGTCCTCAGGAACTGTGGGTCCTCAGTGGTCCCTGTCCTCAGGAGCTGCGGGTCCTCAGTGGTCCCTGTCCTCAGGAGCTGCGGGTCCTCAGTGGTCCCTGTCCTCAGGAGCTGTGGATCCTCAGTGGTCCCTGTCCCCCAGAGCTGCAGGTCCTCAGTGGTCCCTGTCCTCAGGAGCTGTGGGTCCTCAGTGGTCCCTGTCCTCAGGAGCTGCGGGTCCTCAGTGGTCCCTGTCCTCAGGAGCTGTGGGTCCTTGGTGGTCCCTGTCTCCAGGAGCTGCAGGTCCTTGGTGGTCCCCATCTCCAGGAGCTGTGAGTCTTCAGTGGTCCCTGTCTCCAGGAGCTGCAGGTCCTTGGTGGTCCCCGTCCCCAGGAGCTGTGGGTCCTCAGAGGTCCCCGTCCCCAGGAGCTGTGGGTCCTCAGAGGTCCCCGTCTCCAGGAGCTGTGGGTCCTCAGAGGTCCCCGTCCCCAGGAGCTGTGGGTCCTCAGTGGTCCCCGTCTCCAGGAGCTGTGGGTCCTCAGTGGTCCCCGTCTCCAGGAGCTGTGGGTCCTCAGTGGTCCCCGTCCCCAGGAGCTGTGGGTCCTCAGTGAGGCTACTGGCCGCATCCTGGCCCGGGAAAGGTGACGTGCTGCGGGGAGGAGCAACGCTTGGCTGTGCCGTGCTCTCCACCAGCCCCGTGGCATTCCTGTCCCACTGCTCAGCGTTTTCGGCCACGGTCCCCTCGCCCGCAGGTGCCGCCGTGCCGGGATCCAGCTCCTGGGGGTGTGGGGTGGTGAGGTCCCCCACCACCTGGCCACCCCACGTCCCCGGGGACGTGCTGGGGCTGGGAGCTGCCGCAGAGGCGAGCTGCTCCGGTACTGCGGTTCCCTCGCCGAGTGCCGCCGGGCTTCCCGTGGTCTTCGTGCTGCCCCAAACCCAGTCCAGGAGCTGCGTTTCAGAGGAGGGGAAGCAGCAAGCCAGGAGGAGCAGAAACCCCAAGCGAGGTGGGGCCATTAGGAAGGGAAAAACAGCCCCGTTGCTTCAGAGAGTGAAACGGAGAGGCCAGAGGAAGGAAAGGAGGGAAGAGGCAGGAGTTTTGCCCCGGCCAGACTCCCAGAGCACTCACATCGCTTTCTCCTCCCCGGCCCCAGCACACCACCCTTCAAACCAGAGCGGAGCAGCGGGAGGAGTGGCCGCGCCTCCGGCCCTGCCAAGCCCTCCTCTCCCCAGCGCCAGCCCCCCCGCACCCAGCACAGCCTCCCGGGGACCCCGCTGCCCGCCTGGGAGCCCACCCGAGCCCCCCAAAACCTCTGGGAGCTGAGCCAGCCCTTAGACGCACCCTCTTCCCTGTCCCAGCTGCTGCTGCCAGCTTTTTAACTCCCTCCTGCCCAGAAAATCCTAAATCCTCTCTCCCTGCTCCGTGGCTCTGGTTAAATTACCGGTGTCCAGAGCTGTACATGGGGTGGAGGGTGAGGGGGTCACGCATGGATACTGTCCCTACGGATGCCCAGCTTCGGTGGGACACACATATATATAATCTCAGAGCAAAACAGGATGAGGAGGGAAAAAAAATCCCAGAAAACATTTCCAAGATTTACACCGGCTGGAAAAACAAGTCCCAAAAGTCAAGTGCTTTGAAGCCGCATTCCTGGCTCAGTTGCAGGGCCAGGACCCCCCAGATTTTGTCACAGGACGGTGAGGGGAGCGCTTGTGATCCCCCCCACCGTGAGCATCATGCACCAGCGAGATCTCAAAGCCAGGAGGTCTGAGCAATCACAACGCTGAGCACTCAATCCTGAAGCCTGGGATGAAAATCTCCTCCCTGCAGCACTGGTGCTCTCCCGTGTGCCAAAAAATTCAGATGACCTTCACCTCAGCTTAAAAAATCCCCCCCCAATCCACCTATTTCTCCTCATTTCCCACATCAGCGCTGCCCTGCTCTGGAAGCGATGGCCCCTGCTCCTGGGGACCGCCGAGTCCCCGGTCCCCTGAGGGATGGAGCACACCCATGCTGCTCTTGCTGTGACCCCGGGCGAGTCACCTTCGTGGCTCAAAAAGTCTTCCCAAGAAGGGACATTGATGGGGAGGTGACGATTCCAGTTCCCCATAGCCAGGATGCTGCGTGACTGGGAAAGCCGTGGTCTGTGCTAACGCGGTCCCACAATGCAGGGTGGGAAGGGATGCAACTCTCCTGATGCTCCAGTTTAAAAATATTCCAGAAAAGCACTGAAACGAATGCTCAGATGTCTATATTTTGCTTCACACACCATTTCCCACACTGCTTTTTAAGCGAAACGGGTGAGTTTTCCCCTTAAAGTGGTAGCTGGCACAGCAAGGCTGCTGTTGCTAATAGGCTTGCCCCATGACCGATGCTGTTAGGGGCACATGTTGTGGAACAACCCACGACTAATCGAATACGGGACGGGTTTTTGTCCGTATGTCAGAGTTTCCATACAACACACCACCACCACCCCCCCCGAAAGCTCATGTGCTCCCATGAACCTGATGAAAGGAGCCAGCCTGCCAACCCGCCCTGGCGTGTTTGGACGGGACCCTGCTGCGCCCAGCTCTGCTCCCCTGGGGCAAGGGTGCAGCATCCTGGTAGGGTGTGGGGACACCCCCCCCAACACCACCCTCCTGCCGTGTCCTCGGGAAGTCCAAGAGAGATGCCAGTGACTGCTGGCTCCTCCTCTACTGGTGGGAAGGACAGATGGAAAAGCTGGGTGTTCCCACAGCCTCGCCCCTAAACTGGGGGGAGATAAGTGGGGTGACAGCCCTCGGCGGGGATGTGATCCAAGCCACCCCAGGGCAGCTCCCGGAGCCAGGGGGGAGCATCACGAGCCCCCATGAGCTGCCCCATCTCAGCCAGGAGGGTTTCGGCAGCAGCACCATGCTGGGGTGCCCCAAGCGTGTGCAGACATGATGCCCAGCTGGCAAAAAAATTAAAAAAAAAAAAAAATCCCCGTTTCTCCCTTCTGCTGGGATTAGGCAGCTCACGATAGCAGAGCAAAGCAAAACAGCAAATCCCGTGGGACCTCCCTGCGCGCGGGGCTGCCGCCGCCAGCCCTCGTTAAAGCAATGATCTTCATTTCACTGCACACCTCCACGCCGGCGGCTCCCGGGGAACAACCCGGGGCTGGGGCGTCCCCGTGAGCTACAGCATCCGTGTCCCCCGGCCACACTGCTTGACCCCCTCCCGGCAGTGGGATTTCCAAAATAAAGGCTCAGAGGGTGGCCCGGTGGCATGGGTGGCACTCGAGCATCCCAACCCCGTGTGCCCAGCTCTGCCACCAACCAGGCAGCAAGGCAGGGGCAGGGAAAGTACTAGCCAGTGAAATATTTCAGAGAAATATTTCCCCAAAGTGAAGCCACGGCAGTTGGCTTGCTGGCGGAGCAGGGGAAACCCCTTGTTTTAACATCCTCTAGCCTAAAGGCTCCCCAAAAGCACTTTGTACACGCCACGGGGTGCTGCTGGAAGCTCATCATGACGTTGCACCACTCTAAAAGCAGCATTGGACCCTCAATGTGGTTGTAATTCCCTCACGAACAGGCTGGCTCTGCCTTCCCACCACCCTCGGCAACTGCTGGTGCAATCTGGTCCATCTGGAAAAAGGGGATGAGGCTGCCCTGCTCACTGTGGGATCAGTCCTGTCCCAGGAAAAAAGAAAAGAGACCGGGAAAGGGAGAAGAGAAAGAGAGGGGAAAAGTGAGAAAGGGGCAGGGAGAAGTGAGAAGGAGAGGAAGTGGGGGGGGCGGGGAAGAGAAAAAAAAAGCAAAAAAAAAGCCTGTCACATTGGTTTCAGACCTGCAGCATGCCATCGATGGTTAAAGAATAATGATATTATTCTTCAGGGGCCAAAGTGGGGCCGAGCGAGTGGGTTTCAAGTGATGGGTCCATGCGTGTCCCCGGGCCACGGGAGCAGCCCGTGGCGGTGACCGGGGACGGCAAACCTGGCCATGAACGTACCGGGCTTTGCAGCTGCATCCCCGGCCCACGTCCAGAGCTCTCGCTGGGGGCAGCTGGGGGTTGGTGCCCCCACAGCGCTTTGGGAGGGGGACCCCAGTTCAGCAACCCCCCCTCCCTCCACGGCCCAAGGGGGAGAGCTGGGCAGGGAGAGGAGGACAGACGGACAGGCAGATGGACAGCAGAGGGAGCCTCAGGCCGAGCAGAGCGCGGAAGCATCCTCAGAACACCCATTTTGCTGCAGCCCATCGGGAGTGACGATCCATCCCGGGGGCCTCTCCCGGCCACCAGCCCAGAGGTCCGGGCAGGGACGGGCAGCAGTTTTTGCAGGGTGCAGCCGGACAGAGCGCAGGCAGGGAGTTGTGACCTGTGACTTCCCTCCTCCCCCTGCTCACACCCCAAGGGAAGGTCTCCCAGCCCGCAGGCAGGATGGCTGCAAATCACCTTTTGCTTTCGGCCACCACTAAAAGTGGCCCCGGTCCCTTCGGAGCAGCCACGCCAGCCCACACGCAGCATCACGTCGGGGGGGGGGGTACGCTCCATGAAACAGCCCCCTGGGATCAGCAGGAAGGATGTCTGGGGTCAGCCGTGGGATGCAAACACACCGCAGCCCCACAACCTTTCCAGAGCTCACGGGCACTTCAGCAGCTTGCCGGCAGTTTGCCAGGTCGCCACCAGTGATGGCAACGATGCCACAGGGTGCTCGAGAAAGCATCCACCTCCAGAGGGGACAAAACAGCAGCAGAGCAAGCGCTTGGGACTGCCACGGATGCCCCATCCATACTTCTTCCCTTCCATGGATGCTGCTGGGGAAGGAAGGAGGGAAGGAAACCTTGACACTGGCACAGCCAAAATGCCGGAGGCGGGAGCACTCATGCACCGAGCAGAAAAATTCAGCAACTGTCAGTGGCAGATGGTATCTATAAATCCTATCGATGTTTGGGATTTTAATCCGTTCTTCATCTAAAAGCCCAAACAACAGTTAAAAGGCCCTCATCATCGAGTCGCATGCCGAGGATATTGCCACATCCCGAGCTGCTGACCTCCCATGTGGAGACAGCCCCCGGGGAGAGATGGTGGGACCCGGCCCACGCATGGGTGCTCAGCCAGGGAGACGGGAAGGCAGGGGCTGGGGACAAGGATGCATGGGGGGCCGAGCTGGCATGAGTGGCAGCACCCATCGTGGCCCCCAAAATGATGCAGGTGCCAGTTTGCTGGGACCTGCCTCCGGGCCAGCGTTTCCCCCCCCCCCCCGCCTCTCTCTGCGCAACACCGCCGAGCCCCCGGGGACCGCAGCGTTCCTAAACATTTACTCACGGTTAGAGCCAGAAACATCCTCCCAGAAAATTCCTCGATAAGATAAACCGTGAAAATGTCACGACTGCCTCGGGGAGCCATCAAATAACCCCCAGGGGGGAAAGAAGGGCAGCCGTGCTCAGACCCCCCCCACCGTTACCTGCATCCTGAACTGAGCAGAGGCACTCGGTGCGCCGTGACGTCCATCCTACCCATCTAAGGAGTATTATTGTCAGCCAGCATGGGAAATTATGCAGGCAATGGCAACGGGCAGGGCAAGCAAAGCGCAAAGCAAACAGCCCTCCTTCCAAGTGTGGCTAAAAATACCCATGGGGGTCGAGCCCCCGGGGAACGGCGTGCCAAGGGGCAGGTCTCACCAAAGGCATCTTGGATTTGCCTTGTAAGTTGTTACCCTCCAGTGAAGACCGGGAGCCCCGAACTGGAGAAGGCAACAGCCAAGAGATGCTTTGATCCCCCTTTTCCCCATCCGCATGGGCAGGAGGACGAGGCAGCGGTGGCAGGGAACTGGGGCTGGGGTGACTTTAGCCACCTCGCCAGGTCCCCTGGCCACTCCAGGGGATGGATGGTGGATAGGGGCCATCAACCTCCGGAGCAAGCCGAACACAAGGGAGGTCTTTAAGAGTGCAAGGAGGTCTTTAAAATGCAAGGTGAGCTTGGTGTGACCTGTAGCCCCCCAGCCCCACCACTGGTGTTCCCCCCCCACCCCACCCTGCCTCCACAGGGGCCACCGGTTCTGCTTCCCATCACTCGCCTCCCTCCTCGCCGACCGACAGCCTGGAGATAAGGTGAGGGGAGGCGAGCGAAGGAATGTGACCCCCTCACTCACTCTCCGCCGCGTTAATAAATCACCTTGCAGACTAATTGCT